TGTGACTCTTTGGTGGCTGTTGTCACCAAAGTTTTTTTTTTGTTGTTTTTTTAAAAGCTTAGCTTGCTTTTAAAAAAAAGCTTAGCTTGCTTTTTTAAAAAAGATTATTTATGCATACAAGAACTGGGGTGTAGGCCAGAGGTGCGGAAGAGGTGAAAGGATTCACCAGAGACAGAGGAAATACACTGCTGAGGGGAGCAGCAAGTGAGACAGGAGAGGTCTGCTGCTCCAAGTGGGGTTAGCTCCCAGGCTTACCCTGGCCATAGCTTGAAAGTGCTGTCTTTAACCCCTGTGCCACCAGGGAGGCCCCTGTCACCAAAGTTTTTAACATTTAAATGATATAGTGTACCAGAATAACTTGAAATTGGGCATAACTGGAACGGGACAAACATTTTTGAGTATTTTAAAATTTCTACGTATTCTACCAAAGCACTGCCCATCCTGTGCACAGTACTGAATAAGTAATTGTTAAATATAATTAAAAAAAAACAAACCCGTATACCTACACATCACCCCCCCTAACCCTTCTTGCCTGCCATTCCTTTTGTCTTAGTTTTATTTTTTAATTACTTTAGATTGTTTGGTAAGGTTTCTGTATAAAAAACACATGAAGTATGATTCTTATTTTTTTCGTAGATCAAAATGTCTCATTTGACAGAGTAAATGATTGTTAGACCTGTATTTTGTGACAGTAAGAAAATGACTAGCCAGTACAAATAGCTTTCTCTTATTGTAAAACTAAAACCATTTTCATATCAAACCTTTATTTGCAACTTTATCTTCAGTAGTCAGCCTTGTTTTTTTTTAATAAACAAATATCATACAAAGTCCTCACTTTATGGCCAGTTTTTGTACTAATTTTAGAGTCAATTTCTAGTTCAAAAGTGATATTAACAAAAAAAAAGCAAATTGTGGTCCTCTAGATAGATGAACCTTTTACCCAGAAGCACGGTATCACAGTGGATCTGTAAAACATAATCAAGATATAATGCTGTATATATTTGAGACACAGTGAAAGACAAAGGGGAAGAGTCCTAGTTACACAAGGAGTTAGGGAATGCTCACTAGCACCAGTGTTTGTTCCTCCTGTACTTTGATGGGTCCAAGGTTTTCAGCAGGTGCCACAGGAGCAGCATTAACTGGGCATTGATTACATTGGACACCAGGGAAGCCTGCTGCCCTTGTTCTGTTAGGGTCAACTTAGTGTGTAACCCTGTTCTTGTTGAAGAGTGACTAGGCATGGAAAAACCAGGCCACATGGAAGTACACTTCCCACCAATTTCTTTTGGAGTCTGAGCTGCTGTGGATAGCTGTTTTACTGCAAATTGATCTTTAGAGAGTCTAAAAACGTCTAAAAACGATATTGGTTGCCAGGGATTACCTCCATTTTATTATGCATTAGGAAACAGAGAGAGACTGAGACTTAAGAGAACGGAGTGTTATTGAATAGGTATCCAGTCTTTCTTGGACTCTCTACATACGTAATAGAGGTTACTTGGGGACCTCCCCTGGTGGCACAACGGTTGAGCAAATGGCATGAGTTTATCTTTTTTGATTGCTGAATAATATTCCATTGTTTATATATACCACATCTTCATGATCCAGTCATCTATTTTTGGGCATTTGGGTTGTTTCCAGGTTTTACCTATTGTAAATAGTGCTGCAATAAACATAGGTGTACAGGTGTTCTTTTGAATCAGTGTTTTTGTGTCCTTTGAGTATATCCCTAGGAGTGGAATTGCCAGGTCGTATGGTAGCTCCATTTTTAGTAGACTGAGGAACCTCCAGACAGCTTTCCATAGTGGTTGGACCAGTTTGCACTCCCACCAGCAATGTAGGAGAGTTCCTTTTTCACCACATCCTCGTCAACATTTGTTGTTGCTTTTTTTTTTTTTTTTTTTTTGATATGTGCCATTCTTACTGGTGTAAGGTGGTATGTCAGTGTTACCCTCAATTTTCAATCCCTACTTGGTCTACCTCATTTAATATATTATCCATAAAAATCATTATGTTTTTAGGGCCTCCCCAGCGGCGCAGTGGGTTGAACGCAGCGCTGTGAAGCTGTCCACAGCCTCTGCAGCGCGGGTTCGATTCCTGGCCGGCCAGGGAGATTCCCACATGGCGCAGCAGACCTCTCCTGTCTTGCCCACTGCTCCCCTCAGCAGTGTATTTCTGTTGTCTGCCTGTTCTGCCTCCTGCTCTGTCTCTGGTGAATCCTCTCACTCTCCCGCACCTCTGGCCTATACCCCAGCTCTTGTATAAAAATAAACAAATCTTTAAAAAAAACATTGTTTTTATTTTTGACATTCTTATATAAAAACCAGTAGAAACCGCAAACCTGTAATTTTTGTAAAAGTAGTAGGTTGATGGAAGATTTTATTCACATACTTTTGTACTAACACAATTTATAGTTGACAATAGTAAATGTGAAATTTTTTGTTTTTTGTGTATATGGACAAAATGCCATATCTAACAATTTCCTTACTTCTTTGAAACTAATATATTTTAAAAAAACAAAATAGATGTATTCTACTTTGGTTTCCTGTTATCTCAGGAAATTAATAAAATGACAAATCCAAAATAATTATATATTAATGTATAAATAAAACAAATACTTCCATTTTTGGCTTTGGAGTTGTATTTTAGAGATTAATAAACAACTTTTACAAACACTTTAAAATAGCTGTCAAAATGATGAGGAAGATAAACTTTAACTTTATATGGACCTATCTTTATTTTCAAAAATTACTTCATACACTGGAAAAATCTTACTTTGTTTCAAATATGGTTGTACACAGGTGGTGGAGACTAACTTTGAAGTGGACTTCTGGTATCACCCACATCAAAAATTTTAGGATGCCTACTTTTTTTTGCAGTGTTGAAAAGACACCCAAATAACACTTAGCCTTGGAGAAAGTCATCTTATTAAGTGCACACATCTTTAGGGTTTTTTTGATGGAGAGGTTCTATTTGTGTATATTACAGATACTTTTTCATATTTAAAGGTTATATAATATTTTAAAGTCTTCTTTCTAATTTAACTGATGAGTGCTAAATATCCTAGAGTGAAGCAGTTGAGTGGGAATGGTTCTGGATACTGGAAGCCTTTTAGAGTACAACCATCTTTGATAGAGTAGTGGTAGTTACAAACTTTGTTATAAGGGAAATTATTGTAATTTATGTTTCTTAGGATTTGACTTTTAAAAGTGTGTGAACTATTAGAAGTGATTAACATTAAAGTTCTTTTTCAAGTTCTTAATGATCTTAGAATGCCTTATTTTCTTTTTTTTTTTTTTTTTTCTTTTTTTTTTTTTTAATTTCTAGAGGCATGTCTTATTTATTTATTTATTATTTGTTGTTTGGTTTATACATGCACTGGGTACAGTCAGAAGCGCGGGAGGGTGAGAGAATTCACCAGAGCCAGAGCGGGGAGCAGAGCAGGCAGAAGGACCGAAGTACACTGCTGAGGGAGCAGCGGGCGGCAGGAGAGGTCTGCGCGCCATGTGGGACCCTCCTCTGGTGGCCGGGGAGCAGCCGGGATTGAACCGGCGCCGCAGAGGCCGCGGGCAGCTTCGCAACCCAGCGCTCAACCGCTGCGCCACTGGGGAGGCCCAGAATGCCTTATTTTCATGTGTTTCTCATAGTTGCAGTTACAACTATCCTGTTAATGCAAATATGGGAATTAGTTTGCAATTTGATTACTTTTTTCAACATCATCAAAAACCTACATAAAATAATTTTGAAAAAATACACTTACAGAAAGCATTGCAGGTGACTTAATAAAACATTTTTTCCTATTAAGAATTAGCAAGAGTTATATAGATTTTAAAAGCAATAGTTGTTACATAGAGTTTTAAGAGTTATATAGATTTAAGGTTGATAGCATTTTGGAAAAGCTTATAGAAATAATGAAATTGAAAGGAATTAAATAAGTCTACTTGTCTAGCAGATATTAGTCAAGGAAGAAACGGAAATTTGGATCATCACATAGATCCTGCTCCAGTAGGTACTGCTTATTTATGGAAAAAACAACAAAACAAAACACTTATATCCTGATCACTAGACAGTATGAACAACTAAAAATGGGTTTTGAAAAAGTACTGTTGGAAATATAGTTTTCAGGATTGAATAATTTAGTTGGCTGTTCTGCATTTAAAGAATGAATGCTTGAAATATAGTTGTATTTTGTGCCCTGATTTGGCAATATAGGTAGAACTATGGGAATAGTGTTAATGGGCAAAATTTTCTAGAGCCGTAATATTTTCTATCTTCTAACTACACCCTTCATTACCTGTTATAAGGCACTGTTACTAATCTGGAAATTTGTCCTGTGCCTTGGGTATGCTGGGACAGAACAAAAGTTGAGAAACAGAGAAAGGGAAAGAAAAAAATATAAAAAACTAGAAGCAGACACAAAATGTAAAAACCTCAGAAGAAAACAGTATTTGTGGAAATGCACTTTTGTCAAGGAAAGAACAGAGCACTGACTGAATGCAGATAAGGACCAACTATAAGGAGTTATGAGTGAATCTTGGGATCTGTGGGAATCTGCTGTCATGAACTATTAAAGGGAAAAGTAGTCATTGGTGATAAAAAAAGGTTTTAAATTGTTAAGCTGAAATTTCAACTAGTCACTGTGCAATTGTAGCTAGAGACAAGGTTTGAATGAACTTACACAGTTAGCTTATACTTAGCAAGTAATATTCATTGTGTTCTCCAGATAACACAAATGTGTAATTAAAATTGGAAAGTATTAATGAGCTTAATGGCATGAATAATAGATTAAATAATAATAGATTAAAATTTTTAAGACTCAATAGTTGTGTTCTTTCACTTGATAATTTTACCTTTTCCTCAGGAAAATATTCAGAAATCCTTGATTCTTGAAATTTGTGCCATGACCCAAACATGGTTAAGTGTATTTCATTGCTTGTTTTTTATCAGGTGATACAAATTCTTAAATATTTTAAAACATAATTCACATTTCTTTTTATAACTAGGAGCCTTTTGAGGATGGCTTTGCTAATGGGGAAGAAAGTACTCCAACCAGAGATGCTGTGGTCACTTATGCTGCAGAAAGTAAAGGAGTTGTGAAGTTTGGCTGGATCAAGGGTGTATTAGTATGTATAGATTTAATTTTACAGCTACAGTATTTCTATTTATGAAATCTTTCTAAATATTCTTGTTAATTCTCAAGAATAATTTTTCTCATTTTAAACCTAAGGGTTATGGAAGACCAAATTAATAGCAATTGGTATTTCCTTTTATTTATGTTCCCTCTTCCCTGTATTTTCTTTTATTATTGATATTAAATTCATTAAAGGAAATACATACATTTGTTAAATTAACCAAATTAGCCGATCACCTCTAAATTATATTTCCTCTTGTAACTTTCACATATTGTCACTTTTCAGTATGAAGCTGTAACAATCAGAATCAAGAAAGTTGAACAGGCAATAGAGTTGAAATAAGCTTGCTCACTTTCCCACAGCCACAAATCCACTTAATTTTTTGAAGAGAAATGTGTGGAAATTAATATGCTTCACAATAAAGGAGAATTCATTTTCTTAAGCATTGAGATCAGTAAAAGTTTAAAAACATGACTAGGTTCCAGATTTACTAATATTTTTCCTGTGTTTGAATAGTCAGTAAAGTTAGAGTAGACAAACTAAAATGACCTCTTGTTGGGAACAATTTAATTAGAATTGTATTGGTATTTAGGAGAGACGCAAAGGGAAAATACAAATTCTAATCATTTTGTGGCCTAAAAATAGGACTAGTGTGAAATTCCAGGTAGTATTACTTGCCAGTTCTTAGACTTTTGTATTTTAGAAGACTATGTTCTGTGTATCAGCATAATAAAAGTAAATATAAATTGGAGAAGCTATCTTAAAAATAGTTTAGATTTTTGAAAGATGTGTGAGCAATTTTGTGTTGACATATAGTATGGAATACTTAATCTACTGTAGACATCATGAAATGAGGATATTTTAAAAGAATAAGCAAAAATGAAACTATTTGCATTGATAAAGGGTATCATGAATTCACTTTTTTGTTAGAGCTACAGTCTTAAAATATTCCTTGTACATTTTTTTAGTTGTACCTGATGTTTCAGACAACTGTGATGGGTAGGTGGTATGTATACACAGACAACCATATATTATACTTACAGTTACATTGATTAGATCCCTTTTAAGTTTCCATTAAGCTCTTTTTAAAAAAAACTGTTAAAGAAAGGGTGGGATTAGAGTTGTATTTAAAATTGCTTTCTATAGTTTCTGATGTTAGTTATCTTATTTCTGACCAGTTCAGCACTTACTCCTGTATTATATTTGATTACTTTTCTTCATCTATGACTTGGCCTCTTTTTCCTCCATAGGTACGTTGCATGTTAAATATTTGGGGTGTGATGCTCTTCATTAGATTGTCATGGATTGTAGGTCAAGCTGGAATAGGTATGTGAAATTGCAAACTCTGATTTCAGAATAAATAAGCAAAATAACTGTCTAGATTTTCATCATAAATTTTAAGCAGTTGGAATCATTGTAAGCCATGTTCTCCTTTGTGTCAGGTTGTTGACTTAATGCACTCTCAAAAGTTTGATTGCATTTTTTTTAAAGTGGAAACAAAATAAGGTTATAAAGTGAATTCAGACTATCATGGTGTAGGCCGCCTTCTAAGTCTCTTTTCTTTTTCTCTGAAGGTCTGTCAGTTCTTGTAATAGCAATGGCCACTGTCGTGACAACTATCACTGGATTGTCTACTTCAGCAATAGCTACAAATGGATTTGTACGAGGAGGTAAATTCAGTTTTCTCAAATCATCATTGCATCACTGTTACCAACACACTAGGTTTTAAATCTTTTAATTATTCTTTATCTTAAAAAAGCAATGTATCAAGTATGTAGAGGCAAGAAAGTTGTTACTGGACACTTTTAAACTAGTATATTAGAATATAAAATTTTATATTAATTTCACATGCAAACATACACATTATTTTTTTTTTTTAAGATTTTTATTTTATTTATACATATAAGAGCTGAGGTATAGGCCAAAGGTATGGGGTGAGAAGATTCACCAGAGCCAGAGTGGGGAGCAGAACAGGAGGTTAGACTAAAATACACTGCTGAGGGGAGCAGTGGGCAAGACAGGAGAGGTCTGCTGCACCATGTGGGTTAGCTCCCTGGCTGGGGATCGAATTCATGCTGCATAGTGCTGCGACTTATCCCCTTGTGCCAGCAGGGAGGCCCCAGGCACATACACTGTAAATTCTAGGGTATTTAATATATTTGCTCACAAGAATGGAGTGTCTAGCCAGGTGTTTTGCTCCACTACACTAACCCTTCGTACCTTCTGCCATGTTTTCAGCCCTTGAATTAGTAACCTGCACCCTGCATTTGGTCAACGTTTATGATACAGATGTATCCCATTGAGGAAAACTTAGGCAGAATACTTTTCCCATGATCTAACAGCTTGTGTGAATTAGATTTGGGACTCTGAATCCATATCAATCTAGCTCTCTTTTGTTGGTATTCTGAGACCCTTTCATTGGAGTCAACAAGATCTTGGAAGAGTTTACTGTCTCAAGGGACACTACCCAGGAGACCAGGAAAATGACCTTGCAATCCATGAAAACATGAAAAGAATTCCATTTCCCAAACAAAATCTCCTCATTCAGCTGAAGTAAAGGGGAAAAAAGCCCTAGAGAAAAGAAAGAAAATGTGTCCCAGCTTCTATAAAGTCATTATCACAGATAATGAGAAAAGACTCCACCCGTTCCATCTGTCTCAGCTGTTTTGTGGATCCATATGTGATATTCTATACAAAACATTTCTTGTTTTATCTCTATCAGGTATTTGGAGAAGAGAAAATCAGACTGAGCTTTTTATTTTCCCCCTCACTTTATATTTCTTTCACACCTAAGGATCCTAGACTACCTTGACCCTTGGGGAGGCTGGTGGCTCACCTCAACATGATTATTACTCTGCTGAGCATGCATCACCATTTGCTGAACAGTTTTCTGTATATTTATGTCTGGTTTCATGTATATTGGGGTGTTAAATGTGGGTATGTAAAGCATAGTTATTCAGACAATCACAGGGATTCTTCTTAGCTTCTTGCGTACTAAGTGCTCCATGTTTCAATTTTGTTCAGCTACTTTTGGGGAATGGAAGTGGAATAAGAAAAGGGATAGACAGTTACTTGCAGGGATTCAGCAAGTCATCAAACAGATTTCCCCTAATCTTCAGCCCTTTGAATGAAGGTTTAATAATCAAGGGGATGGGGCATGAAGCTACTGGCAGCATGACCTTAGTCTGAGATCCTTGACATAAAAAAGTTGTCATTAATTAAATCAACTCAACTTTTTAGTGTATTTCATCTCAAAACAAAACAAAACATAGGACTAATACTAAATAGGTTGCATTTTTATCTACAGAATTTCCAAGATGATTAAAATTTTTAATTAGTAAGTTTTGGGTATATCAATTTTAAAGTAATAGACTATTTTGAGAGAATTGGTAGAATTAATTATAAAACCTATCACAGGTATTTCCAAAATGAGTTTTGCATATTTAGCACTTTATCAAATTATAGACATTTTTGTTGCATTTGTCTTCATTATACTGGGAGAACAGTAGAAATGTAATATTCATCTGCTCAATGACATTTTATTTAAGGTCTTAAAAATTAAATATTTTTTCAGTATCTAGAAAAATGCATATGGCTTCATATAACTTCAGCATTATTACACTTTTAATTATGACCTAGAGGCCAGAAATAAATCATAATTTAAAAATAACTCTTAGAGGGCCTCCCTGGTGGCACAAGGGGTTAAGATGCAACCTGTGAAGCTATCTGCAGCCACTGCAGCATGAGTTCGATCCCTAGCCAGGAAGCTATCCACATGGCACAGCAGACCTCTCCTGACTTGCCCACTGCTCCCCTCAGCAGTGTGTTTTGGTCAGTCTGCCTGTTCTATTCCCCGCTCTTGTCTCTGGTGAATCCTCTCACCTTCCATACCTCTGGTCTGTACCCTAGTTCTTGTATGCATAAATAAATAAATTTAAAAAAATATGAAGATAACTCTTAGAGACTATAACTAAACTCAAAACCATAAAACTAGTTTGTTTTCAAAGTTGGAAAAATACTTGTTTTATGATAACACATTCAGTGCCTGCCATATTCCCTTGCATTTAGACAGGACTTACTATTAATAGAATACCACATAGGAAGTTCTTTGCAGTTTCAGGTGATACTTGTTTTTTGCTTTAGTAGTCACTTTTCGAACAAATTGCTAATTTATGTAGCTCAAATTATGTCCACTGTAATTTTAAAAGTTACATTAAGATTCAAAATACAACAGAAAATCACTGAGAAATGATCTTGGTTGGTATCTGAATATAAGGAGACTGGAAAAATTTTAATTAAATTTTGAAAGAGAGAGTAATTAAATTAAATGGAATGACTTTATATTTGATATGGAAAGAATACTCTGTATGTTGAGCGCTTTTTTTTAATGTTGAGCACTTTCATTTTATTTTTTTCAAAGATATTTATTTACTTATTTATTCATTTATTTATTTATTTACACATGCATACATACATACATACATACAAGCACTGGGTACAGTCAGAAGTGTGGGAGGGTGAGAGAATTCACCAGAGCCAGAGCGGGGAGCAGAGCAGGCAGAAGGACCGAGGTACACTGCTGAGGGGAGCAGCGGGCGGCAGGAGAGGTCTGCACACCATGTGGGACCCTCCTCTGGTGGCCGGGGAGCAGCCGGGGACCGAACCAGTGTCGCAGAGGCTGCTGGTAGCCTCGCAACCCAGCGCTCAACCACTGCACCACCCATGTTGAGCACTTTTAATGAATGAAGTGGGTTGTAAAGAATTCTTTCTGGGTTTCTTCCTGAAAATATGCCCACCCACTTGCCAATTAATTTAACTGCTTACTGGAAGTATGTTCTTTGTGAACTTTTGTGTCATTAAAAGGGTTGTTTGACATTTAAAATACTAACTTCAGTTACTTTTGTTATTTTTTTTTCCTTTAGGAGGAGCATATTATTTAATATCTAGAAGTCTAGGGCCAGAATTTGGTGGTGCAATTGGCCTTATCTTCGCTTTTGCCAATGCTGTTGCAGTTGCTATGTATGTGGTTGGATTTGCAGAAACTGTGGTGGAGTTGCTTAAGGTAAGTGACCTTTCTTGTACTCATTTGTGTACCACATTTTTATCAAATGTTTATGTGCCACTTTTTATATTAGATATAGAAGCAGTGAACCCAAAACTTATCCTTCAAAGTAAAAAATCATTATAGAATGCCAGAAGAGGCTAACAATAAGAGGCCTTGGCAACATGAAGGGGGGGTTACTTTATGCAGGAATGGGGGTGGCAGAGGAGAGTTAAGAAATGGATTTTCAAGGAAGGGATTCAAGACATCAACAGGCAAATAGGCGATGTGGGGTGTGGTATAAGGGGATAGAAAAGAAAACAGTGGTCTGGAAGGGGTAGACTAAGATCTGTTTTTGTTTTGTTTTGTTTCCTTTAAAAACAAACCAGAAATATGACAATGTGACTGTAGCACAAAGTGGCAAGAGATTTAAGAATAAAGAGAGAAAAAGGATAAAGTGTGGAAGGATCTTGTTGAGTATTAAGTTTAGGTCTTATCTTGATTGGAGTTGGGGGACATGACTTGATTAGATTTGGGACCTCAAGAAATCTGACCACACTATTGAGAGTGGATTTGATGACTCTTAGTAGGATAGGAAGCAATATAAAAAGTATGTTTTAAGGGTCTCCCTGGTAGCACAAGGGGTTAAGATGCAACCTGTGAAGCTATCTGCAGCCTCTGCAGCATGAGTTCGATCCCCGGCTGGCCAGGGAGCCACCCACATGGTGCAGCAGACCTCTCTTTACTCACCTGCTGCTCCCCTCAGCAGTGTACTTTGGTCAGTCTGCCTGTTCTGCTCCCCACTCTGTCTCTGGTGAATCCTCTTACCCCTCACACCTCTGGCCTATACCCAGCTCTTGTATGCATAAATAAATAAATCTTAAAAAAAAAAAAAAAAGATGTTTTAGCTATCCTGAGATAGTGGCTTATATTAAGACAGTGACCAGTGGGGCTGGAGAGATTTGAGTGAACTTGAGCTATTTTTTCAAAGTTGGGTAAATGGAATTGATGATTAATGGGGTTTGGGAAATTAGGGAAAGAGAAAGCATGATTAATGGGGTTTGAGAAATTAGGGTGAGAAAGCAGTATTTCAAATTAATGTACAGATATTTGTTTTTGTTTTTTTTTAAAGATTTATTTATGCATGCAAGAACTGGGGTGTAGGATGTGGGTGGGGGAGGTGAGAGGATTCATCAGAGACAGACTGGGAGCAGAACAGGGAGATCTATTGAAATACACTGCTGAGGGGAGCAGTGGATAAGACAGGAGAGGTCTACTGTGCCTTGTGGGCTAGCTCCCTGGCCCACTGGGGATCGAACTCATGCTGCAGTGGCTAGGCAGCCTGATAGCGCTGTCTTTAACTCCTGCACCACCAGAAAAGCCCATAATGTACAAATTTCTGACTTGAGGATTTAGATGGAAGCTGCTGGCACTCACTCTGAAACATTTTAGTTTTGAATATCTAATTTGAGGAACTAGAGATATATCTATATACGGCTGGCCATTAAGTTGATAATGCTGTTCTGGAGTTCGTAGAGGACTTGTTTGAAAAGAGCCACTGAAGATGTGTTTAGTTAAAGTAGTAGAAGTGATATAGGATTAAGTGTTGTTAAATGACAGAAAACCTGCAGTTGTTCCTCAGGTTAGGTTATTGTTTTTTCACCATAGTATGTGCTATATTAGGAAGTATAAAATATGCCAGTAGTTATTGACCTTACCTGTGCAGGCCAGATGAATGGAGAAAAGGAAGCAAACAAACATTATAATCACTCAGAGTTTATATTATTTCATTGTTTAGTACAGTATGTTTTTATGGTCATTGTTATTAAACTATAAATAATGTTGCTCATAAAAGGAGCAGTGTGATTTTTGGACAATTGTGTGAAAGTGTTTTATCTTATTATGTAACATAAGCCACAATGATACCTAAAATGTCTCCAAAATAGAGTTTATCTTAAATAATAACCTATTATTGCTCACATTTATGATTATTTTTCTAGGAACATTCCATTCTTATGATTGATGAAATCAATGATATTCGAATTATTGGAGCCATTACAGTGGTGGTCCTTTTAGGGATCTCAGTAGCTGGAATGGAATGGGAGGCAAAAGTAAGTACGATAGTATTGAAATCTGTAAATATTTAATATACAAACTTTTAGAAGTTATGTCTTAGGAATGCTCTAAGTTGTGATAACACTTAGATTTTGAAGATTTCCAAGTGACCGTTTTCAGAGAAGTTTACATGGTTATTTATTATGGCAGCAAGAAATATTTAGAGATAGTAATAAATCTAGGATCTAGTTAAACATAGTAATTTCTAAATTTTAACTTGCATTTTCCCTCCCACCCCCTAATCTTGATTTGCATTATGTAGAAATGCTAGGTTATATATTATGTTGTTCATATTAAACTATTTGTTTTGTGATTCAGTATATATTTTTTAAAGATTTATTTATGCACACAAGAACTGGGATACAGGCCAGAGGTGTGCGGGGGTGAGTGGATTCACCAGAGACAGAGTGGGGAGCAGAACAGGCAGATCGACTGAAATACACTGCTGAGGGGAGCAGCAGGTGAGGTAGGGAAGTCTGCTGTGCCTTGTGGGTCACCTCCCTGGCAGGGGACCGAACTTGGTGCTGCAATGGTTGCAGATAGCATCACAGTGGTGCGTCTTAACCCCTTGCACCACCAGGGAGGCCTCTGTGATTTATTTTAAAGTTCCATATGAAAATAAATACAGGGATAGAAAGCTTCAAGTTAATAATGTGCATGTAAAGTTAGAGAAACTAACCTTGTTCCTTGCTATTGAAATCTCAGGAATCATGGCTACCAAAGTCAGTACGGGGCCTCCCCGGTGGCACAGCGGTTGAGTGCTGGGTTGCAAAGCTGCCCGCAGCCTCTGCAGTGCCGGTTCGATCCCCAGCCACCCGGTGAGGGTCCCACATGGCGCAGACCTGTCCTGCCGCCTGCTGCTCCCCTCAGCAGTGTACTTCGTCAGTCTGCCTGTTCTGCTCTCTGCTCTGACTCTGGTGAATTCTCTCACCCTCCCGCGCTTCTGACTGTACCTAGTGCTTGCATGTATAAATAAATAAATAAATAAATAAATAAATCTTTAGGGCCTCCTGTGGTGGTGCAGCGGTTGAACGCTGGGCTGCGAAGCTGCCCGCAGCCTCTGCAGTGCCGGTTCGATCCCCGGCCGCCGGGCGAGGGTTCTACATGGCTTGCGGACCTCTCCTGCTGCCCGCTGCTCCCCTCAGCAGTGTATTTCATCCGTTTGCCTGACCTGTTCCCCACTCTAGCTCTGGTGAATTCTCTGAACCCTCCTGCACTTCTGACTGTACCCAGTGCTTGTATAAATAAAATAAATCTTTAAAAAAAAAAAAGTCAGTACCACTGTTTCTGGGGGATAATTGCTGAAGTGTCACATGTTAGCCTATATATTCTTCTGTCTTTGAGAGAATATGACACAGTACAGTTCTAGTTTCTTGAGTAATGGTAACTCAAAGTTCTAAGTTTCTTCCTGTTTACCTCAGAGATCATATAAAATCTCATATTTGTGGTACATATAAACTATGAAAAATACCAGATAAAATTAGGAAAAGTCTGGAAGAATTATTTTCTCCAAGGTTTTTTTTTTTTTTTTTTTTTAAGATTTATTTATACAAGAACCAGGGTACAGGCCAGATGCGTGGGAGGGTGAGAGGATTCACCAGAGCCGCACCATGTGGGACCCTCGTGGGCATGCACACTGCAGAGGCTGTGGACAGCTTCACAGCGTGGCGCTCAACCGCCTGTGCCACCAGGGGAGGCCCACCAAGATTTTCTTTTTAATGCATACAAGAACTGGGGTATAGGCCAGAGGTGTGGAGGATGAGAAGATTCACCAGAGATAGAGTCAGGAGCAAAGCAGGCAGATTTACTAAAACACATTGCTGAGGGGAGCAGCAGGTGAGACAGGAGAGATATGCTGTGCCATGTGGGTTAGCTCCCTGGCCCGGGATCAAACTCATGCTGCAGTGGCTGGCGACAGTTTGATAGCGCTAAAACTTTAACCCCTGCGCCACTAGGGAGGCCCTCCAAGGTTGTTATTTACTATTATAAAATTCAATCATTTATTTACACATTTATCACAATGACTTTATTGAAAAGGACAGAATTTCATACTACCTAGTACATGATTTGTATATTAGTAGTTCCTGTTTCCATGGATGATAGTCTTTCATGGTATCTACTCCATTTTATTACAAGGTTAAGATAATAGAAGAGTTATGGTAGGTCTCACATTACCTTTGCCAGTCTCACTGTTACTTGAATTCCCTTCTTGGGTGTTATTGTCATCTTTTCATACTTTTTCTTTTCTTATAAAAGTCACATTCATTGTTGTGTTTGGACTTGATATAAAACATGTATTTGTAGCAGATAAGTTCTCCATTTCAAGATTGTTCTGGCATGGTGGAGGGGACTAGGAATGATATAGGATGAAAAGCCTACAGTGCTTTGGGGTTTATAGTGCTTCATGGTTTGTGGGAGGGCTTGCAAATCTTTAATTCATATTAGAAATACATGGCATGATTTTACTTGTGCTATCCATTTTCCCCCAGTCAATTGGCAAGAGGGCGCATGATAACTTGACACTTACTGTCCCTGTTGTTACATATTGAGTATTCTATAGTAGTTTTTTTTTTTAATGATTGTTCATTTATTTAACAAAAATTTGAGTACCTACATATGGTTTGACACTGTTTGAGGTACTGGATAAACCAAACTGAAATCTTTCCTCTTATGGAAGTTATATTCTGCTGGAACTGAATCAATGTACATACTTGAGATACTTGAATCTGATTTTGACTGTTTAAAATTCCAGGCTCAGATTGTTCTTTTGGTGATTCTACTATTAGCTATTGCTGATTTCATCATAGGAACATTTATCCCACTGGAGAGCAAGAAACCCAAAGGTTTCTTTAGTTATAAATGTAAGTAAAAAAAAAGATACTTCTTTACATGTCATGTAACATTCTATTACTAAATATACTCAGTACGTTTTAGATACTTTGTAATGTTAGTTTTATTTCCCTTATATATATTGTATGATTGCAGTAAAAGTTCATTTGATCTTTAAAGGTAACAATGTGGAAAAATCAGTGCTGTTGAGGATGGGTGGTTTGTTCTTTACTCATCTGAGGAGGTTTTAACTGAAATTGTAACTTCTGTTGTAACATGACTTCATTATTTGATATTTATTTTATATGTAAATATGTGAGAGTGAAAGCAAATAGAAATACTAGTTTCTTGGTGCAGTTGCTACTTAAGAGTTTTTCTACAGTTTATATTATTTTGTAGGAACTTCCCACAGTTTTCACCTTTTATAATACTTTTTATACTTTGTCACTAGTGTTGAAATGTACTTGTCCTTTATTTTGTGAAGTGTCTATCTGTATCTTCTTCCTGTACTCCCACCTTCTCCCCACCTAATTCAGCCACCCTATTTCCAAAAGGCAAAGTGGAAGCAAGAAAGAATAGTGGAGTAACATTGGGAGGCTTGTCGCCTAGGGTAACAGAACTGACTTCAACTGACACAAACTTGTTTTAAAGCCCTATAAGAAAAAGTATAGTAGCTTCATTCTCCTAAGTTGTGAAAACATGTGGAATGTAAATCAGTGCTCTTCCTCCTTCAGAAAGTCTTACTGGAAAAAAAATCAGCTGAAATAAACTGTGGTGTCTAGAGATCTGTTTGATTTACATTCTGATGTAAGCCCCTTAATCTTGTTGCTGACTGGTAACAAACACATACAGTCCCAGTGCCATAATGTAAGTAGCACTGTTTTGGCCTGTATCCTATACTGACTTAAGTTGCTGGGCAGTAATCTGATTGAATTGTTTCAAATTTCTTATGTTAAACACGGATACTCATCTATTATTTGTATCTTCTGGTCCTGGGTTAATAGTGATGTCTGTTCTGATTATTAGCACTTATGCCTACACTGGACTTTAAAGTCCCAATTTCCCACAGGGAGAGAAGAAGTGTGTCTACTAGGCATACCAGAAGTGAAAGTTAGCAGCATCAGTTAGGTAGATAACTTTCTGTATATTGTACCTTCACAAATAAATGTTTCATTTCTTCTAATTATGAATGTTACTTCAATTTTGAAGCATACTTTAAGTTTTTTTCCCAATCTTGTTTTTGACGAACTGCTAAAAATTAGAGTGGATAACTATTTCTCAAAATATTCCTAATATATAGTTTCTTATAAGTGTAATCAGTTAGACCACATTGTTCATTTCCTTTTTTTCAGATCCTTGACAACTTGTAAACTTACTGTATTTAAGTAGTATATATGGGCTTACTTAATCTGAAATAAATGTCAATATACATTGGAATATGACTTTTCTGTTTTGGTTGATACTGCTTGGCTCTTCTTATTCATTATGCTAAGATCATGATATCAGCAGTAAAATTCATGTTTATAAATTTGTCAGTTCAAAGGACTTCTTTATAGGGGTATTTATTTTCTCCTAATGTGAGATGTGTATCTGCTTCACCAAAGACCAATGCTGCTGTTTTTCAGATTCCATTTCTTTTACTTTCTCAAAGATATTTGTCCTTTGATAATCCATTTGATTACCTGTATCAAAACTCTCATCTATATTCAAGATTATAAACTTGCTCTTGTAATCTCCATCCTTTAAAATCTTTATCTCTTGTCCTTTATTCTCCTCCAGTTACTACCTCAATTTCCAGTTCCCTTTCATAGACACATTTCTCAAGTCTTTACCTCTTGTTTATTTCAAACTAATTTTACATTTAAAATTTGAAAAATTAATATAACAAATTCCTTATACCTTTTACCTAGATTCACCAGTGATATATATATTAAATATATTCTATTTTTTTGAGGCCGTAAATTGTATCACTCCATATATAATAATTATTACTCTGCTTAACTCTTTGAGAAATTCTGACTTATTACTTGTGATACATACTTAGCATGTATCTATTTGAAGAAGGATAATTCAGGAATTTAACTTGGCACAATGCTAATATCTAACTAATACTTCATGTACAAATTTTTCAAACTGTCCTGTAAAGAGCTTTGTAGAATTTTTTTCATACTGTTCCAAGAGCCAATCCCTGGTCATGTTTTCCATTCAATTGTCAAGTCTCTCTTCAATCTCTTTTCCTTTTTTAAATGGTTCTTTAGGTAATCTTTAATTCTTTAATCTTTTCAGATCTGAAACAGCTCCTTAGTCTTTTTTTTTTTTTTGTCTTTCATGACACTGACATTTTTCAAGAGAATGGGCCTTGTTTTTTAGAAGGTCCATCCAGGTGGGTTTATCAAATTTGTTTATATAGGTTCAGGTTATTCATTTTTGCCATAAACACTGCATGAATGATGTGTTATCCTCAGTGCATCAGACCAGGAGATTCACATGGTGTCAGTGACTTTGCCAGGGTTGTAGGGTACCTAAGAGGTTTCTCTATTATATGGTTGCCACTTTCTTTGTTGTAATTAAGATGCAACCTATCGAGAAGAAATTTGAGAGTGTGTGCTATCTACTCCTTACCATACTTTGACCAGTTGTTTGATTTCATTCATATTTACGCTTCTCATCTGACTTGTCTGCCAGGGTCACTACCATACAGTATTTGATTAAATGTGCTATTCTTCAGATTTTTGCCTCTAAGCCACATTAATTAGTTATCCCATTCTCCTTGAATAGTTTCCATGTTTTAATCACTGTTACATACGATTGGTGTACTACTTAACTCACTGGTCACTTTGTATTTACTACTGTTACCCTTTCTCTTTACTCTCAGCTGAATGTTAGATTTTCAGACTGTGCCTCTGCAGCACTGGTTCGTTCCCCAGCAGCCGGCGAGGGTCCCACAAAAAAAAAAAAGAAAAGAAAAGGAATCAAGTGAGACTTTCAGACTGTGGTTCTCATGGCTCAAAATGTTAGGGGGGACTGACAAATTTAAGGGACTGACAAATTTAAGAATCTCTTCTTTAAACGGCAGACATACATGTATATGCAACTGCGTATGTGATGTGTTTCCTCCCTAATCTATTTCATATTTTCCATCTCAGTAAGTGGAAGAAGTGCAGATCTTAGTGTTTACCACCTGTCCCTTCACTTTATAATCCTTCTCTAATCACTATATTAGTCTCCCATCACCAGACTGAACCACTGCAGTAACTTCCTAATTGGTTTCACTGATTGACTAGTTGCCCCCTTCCTTTCAGTTCCACACAGCATTAATCCCATTCTGTCATTTGTATCTTTCTGAACCTAGCTTGGCATATATTTATTGCTGTTGGTAATGACCTGTTCTTTTACTTATTTTGTAGCTCCTATTTGAGATTCTTAATTTCTTGAACGACCATGACTGCTTTCTTGATATTGTAACTCTAAGCACCTTGAAATACTAAATGTCTCTGGTAGGTTCTCAAATACTGAGTGGATGGATAAAGAAATGACAGTTACTTGCTAATTTCAGTGTCAGGGTTGATTATTTTAGAATAGATGGAAGCAGTAGGACTAGTTGAAACTTTCATTATTATGAAAGTGGAAAGCACTTTTACTTAGGGTAACTTGGCTGCAATTATTCTGGAAGCCTGTTGAATATTTCTCAAAAGTTAAAACAGCTCACCACTGGGAAACAGGAAAAGCGCAGAATAGTGGAAAAATTAGAAGGATGAAATAATTATGTTTCCAAGTTAGTGTGACAGTCCTTTTGTTTCTTACTTCCTTTCTTGTTTCTTTGACCTCCAAAATTGAGAACTTTAATCCATACTTTGACTTACATCAGACTATTGATAAAAGTCAAGTTAGAGGTGTTTGAAACATAATTAGTAAGGTGCATAAAATATTAGGGCATGGCCCTGATCAAAGAGGAACACTTATACTTGAAACAAAATATTCAAGAATTTACCAGTTACTTTAAATGATGAAATGTTGGGGTCACACATACTACTTATTCTTGACCTACGTTATGATGTAGTCTGTTATCCACAAATTGCCAAAAAATATTTTGTTCTTTACAGCTGAAATATTTAATGAGAACTTTGGACCAGATTTTCGAGATGAGGAGACTTTCTTTTCTGTATTTGCTATCTTTTTTCCTGCTGCAACTGGTATCCTGGCTGGAGCAAATATATCTGGTGATCTTGCAGTAAGTATTATGAGTGCTGTATCAATTATATATTAAAATGGTACATACTTATTTTTAAAGATACATTTAAAAAAATCTTCTTGTCTTTTAGGATCCTCAGTCAGCCATACCCAAAGGAACACTCTTAGCCATTTTTATCACTACGGTGGTTTACATAGGAATTGCAGTATCTGTAGGTAAATAGCCTTACATTTCTTTATGTGTGTTTTAGAAATTTCATGATGTACATACTATAAATATTTCTTTTCATGACATATTTGTTTTAAATTCAGAAATATTACAAGGGGTACATATTTTAATTCAAAAACTTTTTTTAAAAAAAGATTTATTTATTTATTTATATAAGCACTGGGTACAGTCGGGAGGGTAAGAGAATTCACCAGAGCGGAGAGCAGAGTAGGCAGACTGACGAAGTACACTGCTGAGGGGAGCAGCAGGCGGCAGGAGAGGTCTGCGCGCCATGTGGGACCCTCGCCCAGTGACCGGGGATCAAACTGGCGCTGCAGAGGCTGCAGGCAGCTTCGCAACCCAGCGCTCAACCGCTGCGCCACCGGGGAGGCCCACAAAAACATTTTAAAGCAAACTAGTTCTAACTTTTTGAAGATGTCATCTAAACCACCAAATTCTCTATTGTTTCTCCTCCAGGAGTTTTATTAATGACAATAAATTAGAAAAGTGTGTAAAATCCTATCTGCAGATTCTTAAATTGTCTAGATTATATGTTGAATAAATGTAATTCATATGAAGAAGTTATCTTACTCTCTGATTTTGATAAAGTTCTCAGTATTTTTCTTTATGCTGATTATTTTATATCTTAATGTAATTTTATTATTATTATTATTTTTTAAAGATTCATGTATACATACAAGAGCTGGGTACAGGTCAAAGATGCGGGGGGTGAGAGGATTAACCAGAGACAGAGTGGGAGCAGAGCAGGCAGATGTACTGAAATACACTGCTGAGGGGAGCAGCTGGCCAAACAGGAGAGGTCTGCTGTGCCATGCGGGTCACCTCCCTGGCTGGGGATCGAACTCTTGCTGCGGTGGCTGGGGATAGCTTCATAGTGCTGTGTCTTAACCCCTTGAGCTACCAGGGAGGCCCCTTAATATAATTTTATATGAAGATTTTTTAAAGCCCAGTAAGCAATGCCTGGCATTTGTTATATGAAAGCTGGTTTTATTGAATTATATTAAATGAAAAGTGTTGCTAAAGTAAATTGAATGAAAATGATTTTAAGCTATTTTATTACATTCACAAATTCATAGCATTTAGAATCTGAAGGGATTACAGTGGTGAACCAGTCTGACACCCTGGGTTTTAGAGGAGGGAATTAAAGCTTAGAGATTTCTTATCAAAGGTAGCTGACCCTTGCCTACACTGCTCTAAAGAACTGTTTTCATGGCAAAGAGAGTTATGGTTTTTAATTTTTTTTTTAAAATAAAGTCTTTAAAGGCTATTTATAATAGTAGGTTCTGTAAGTGAAACCTTAACCCATAACAAAATCCCAGTGATCTAACTTACATAATAATTTGCATAGTTACTATAAATTGTCTCTATCCTATCACACTTTTCATGAAATAATATACTTTTTCCAAAATATATATTCTTGAAATATAAAAACTGTTCTCAATGTCTAAACTTTGAAAGTCAAGTTTTACAGTTTAATGTATTAAGCATAAGAGTAAATCTTAGTTTAACACCATTCTAAAAGAATCACAAACTCCAAATTCATAGACCATTGAATGTTTCAGTCATATTTCAATATAAAAAATTCATTTTTGCTATAATATTCAGTGATTTTGGTGGGAAGGGAAGGGAGAAGTAATGTAATAATTTTTTGATAACCTCTACTGCTAATTTTGAAATTTCTCTAGATAGTTAGAAAAGCTAATAATCTGTATTATTATGGTGGGCTAAATTTATATTTTTAAAAAGGAATGGGTTTCATTTATTTAAAAATATTGTCCATACAGCTTTTGAAAATACAAAGGAAATGCATATAGTTATATATACATATGAATATATAACCATACATATTTATATATAAAACCATACATACATAGTTTTTTTTTGTTGTTGTTTTTTTTTTAATAGAGGCATGTTTTATTTATTTATTTGTTTGTTTGTTTGTTTTGTTTATACATGCACTGGGTACAGTCAGAAGCGCGGGAGGGTGAGAGAATTCACCAGAGCCAGAGCGGGGAGCAGAGCAGGCAGAAGGACCGAAGTACACTGCTAAGGGGAGCAGCGGGCGGCAGGAGAGGTCTGCGCGCCTTGTGGGACCCTCCTCTGGTGGCCGGGGAGCAGCCGGGGATCAAACCGGCGCTGCAGAGGCCGCGGGCAGCTTCACAACCCAGCGCTCAACCACTGCGCCACCGGGGAGGCCCCATACATACATAGTTTAAAAGTAGTTTATGTTCTCCTAAATGTACCTTGCATGCTTATATACATTATACATAAATTAATAAAAAAACTTAGTTTTAACTTAAAGATTGTCATAACTGGTTCTGTTTCACAATGAAAATTAATGTGTTGCAGCAGATAAGCATTTTCAGTTTTTATTTGACCCTCTAAAATTACTGACCCTCATACTCATTTCATTCTCTCTACAATGGCCCCTCCAAAGAACAATTCCATTTTAAAATATCAATATGAAATGGAAAAGCATTTCATAAAAGAGATGCTGCAGAACTAGACAGGGCTCTGTTCTCTCAGCCACCTAATGATTTTAGAATTACATTTATTGAAAAATTGTTTTTTAAACACTGTTCTGAAAGGTAGTTTTAGGAACGAAGAATGTAGTCTGTCTAATTAAAATATCCTATCTTTTATACTTAATTTACTGATTATTCAGTTTTTGCTATAATACTATGATTTTTACCTCATCAGTGGGACATAACAATGTTAAAGTACACCAGAAGTAAAAATATTGACATCGAAGGAATTGTAATTTTGTTATACATGTTATTCCAAATAATGAATGCTTGGTTCACAAAAACTTAAATTGTTTAATTATAGAAGTCTTCACTTATGTACAAAAGTAGACAGCTATTTTCTAATGTACTCAATACAACCACCACCCAGCTTCAAAATGGTTAATCTTGTTTCATTTGTACCCATTCATTACTCCCCATGGGTTAATTTGTAACCAGATCACAAATAGCATTTATTTTCTTATTATCAGGGTAGACTTGAGACAAAATTATAAGTAGAGTCACAGTTCATTAATGTTTCATTTATTTTCTAACACAGAAGACTGATATTACCTGAAATCTGATCTTTGGCACATTTCAACTATAAAGTCTTTGTTATATTTTCTGCCATTTGGAAATTTTTCAAGTGTTTTTTTTTTTTTTACATTTGCTTAAAGACATCTTAACCAAATAGATCAGGTTTTAAAATATTTATGTCAATACTATTTTTTATTTAAGTTTCTTTTTCACTGCTTAACTATTGGGGATCATGATGCTTTCCCAATCCTGTTTCAGGTAAAGCTGTCTAAATTATAAATAGAGGGTATGTTGTTATAAGCAGATATACATACAGTCAGTACCATAATTTCTTTATGGGTATATATAATTTTGAAATGAATATAAAACTCAGCTACATTATTTTCATTGTCACTTGTGCTTCAGGTTCTTGTGTTGTTCGAGATGCCACTGGGAACGTTAATGACACTATAGTAACAGAGCTAACAAACTGCACTTCTGCAGCCTGCAAATTAAACTTTGACTTTTCCTACTGTGAGAGCAATCCTTGTTCTTTTGGCCTAATGAACAACTTTCAGGTAAGCATCAAATTCATATTACATAGACATTGTGTATTAATCTAGAAGTCACTTTAATCAAATCTGTCAAGAGTACAGCAGTAACAGAAGGGATGACTCCCATAAAATCTGAAGCCATTAAAGAGCAAAGGGCCCCTAAGGATAACACTTCTATAGTGTATAACAATTATATTTATGTAGATACAGTGTGTTACATATAGTGTACTCTTTCAGAAAGCAAGGGACATCAGAAACCTTTCTATTTTCTGTGCTGTTCCATTAATCTTTGTCTCTCTTCATAATAATACTGTACATTCTTAAAATTACTATAGTTCTATAATAAATCTGGAAGTCAAGTCAGATAAATTGTGTCCTCTCACTTTATCCCTTTACAGAATTGTTTTGGTTATTTCAGTTCCTTTGCTTTTCCACATAAATTTTAGAATACTTTTATATTTATCTACAAAAAGTCTTGCTGGACTCTTGATAGGAACACATTAAAATTGTATATCAACTTGGGGAGAATTGACATCTTTTCTGTATTAACTGTTCTAATCCATGAACAAGGTATTTTTCTTTATTTCAATCTTATTTGATTTCCTTCTTAACCATTGTATAGTGTTCAGCATAAAGTCCTGTACATATTTCATTGTATACTCAAGCAATTAAAATCTGTTCTAATTAAAATGAGTATAGTTTTCTAAGTAAGGGTGTCTCCATTAATTGCTTTATGTATAAACACCCTCTTAAGAAGGTATTGATCACTATTAACTGTTATTTAATTAGATATTGCCCATGTTGTCATGCTATACTAAACCACCATTCAATAGCATTCTGAGTGGGTTTTTGAAAGTTTGTGAATTTTTAATATAAGAACTGTGTGAAGATTCATATTATTTTTCAAGCATTTGGAGACTATCAGTCCTTCCATTTATTGTTACTACCATAAAGTATCTTTTTATGAAATGAAATTTTTGTGAAATTTACAGCTTCTTAGAAGCTGAGAAAAGTATATAAAAGGGGAGCAGGAATTACTAAAATCTGGAGAATAATTTTTAAGAGTTGCTCAGTTAGTCTTAGGATTTGGGAATGTAGATTCAGGAGATTAAAACAAAATATTCTGTGGCAAATTTACAGAAGTTCTAATTCAAAGTGAAAAATAAAAGTTTTGCTTCTAAGTGTTTTTCAAGTATTATGTAAATGTAATAAACAATATTGAATCTAGTCTATTTCATAATAGTATAAATTTTATACATAACATTTACAGTAAAATTTTCTAAATTTTAATATTTTAAAAGTTTTTATAATGTAGTTTCTAGCAAAATGACTGCATTTTCAGTGGTCACATATATTGAACTCAATTATGTAACAGAAGTTTGTTTTTTCTAGTCACAAGACTAGGCAGATTTTTAGGAATCAAAGAAAGTATTCATGTCCAGCTAATGATTCAGGCCAGTTCTGACATTGATATTGTGTATGAAAGGCACAAATGTTGGTTGGTTTCTGCCTAGTAACTTAAAATGCCTATCAGATTTTTTGTGGTTGCCTTGAAATATGAAAGTATGTTGTCTGTGAAGTCTAATGGAGACTCATTCAAGCAAAGAGGATTTGAATTATGTAAAGCTGCTTTTTTATCTTAAGTAATACAGTTTTTTAATGCTTTGTAAAGATATAGCAAATGGGAAAAAATATCTTGTGAAAGTCTAAGTTACTTGTTTAGAGACTAAAGGTTTTTGGGTAGCACATAACCAAGATGCATATATTTTAGAGTCTCCATGAGATCCATACAGAATCACACTTTATAATGCTATTTTATAAATAATCGACTTTTCATACTTTAAGAGGAAAAGTGATTTGAACCATATTATTTTCTGAAATGTTTAATTATATACATTGTGTTGTTTTTTACTCTGTTCCTGCATTTTAGTGTCCTCTACAATTTTGATTCATCCATTTCTTAGTAAACAAAATGTGAGCTTTTTTGTTCTGTCATTCAAAGTCCTTCATAACCAATCTCATGTCCCACTGCCTTCTCTTTAGAGTGGACTCCAGTCATTGCATGTTTCTTTACACACACAAACACACACACACAGAGGAATGCATGTGCGTGTGCACACACTCACTCTCTCACTTTGTTCTTTTATTTGGTACTTCACTGAGCTTGGAATGCACCTGCCTGCTTTCAAGGAGACTTAGTTCCATAAAGATTGTCTTGAGTCCCAAAGTATCTGCAACACACATATGTACATTTTCCACGCAAACTCTTTACCATTTGTTTTATTTGCCAATTTAACCCTCTATTAGAGTTGGTAATCCCCCTGCCCCTTACTAGAGACAAGATTTTTTTTTCATGTTTCCATTTTCCATTGTGTAAGTATGGATAACACTGATGTTACCACTGTTTACATTCATTGTCAGTTTTCTTGCTACTCAGTTTAACCATAAAATGGTAAGAAATGTAGAGTCTAGTGTGTAAATGTAAAAGTAGAAAACAGGAAACTTAACAAATCCTATAAGTACAGTGTTTCCAGATGCTAAGAATTAGCATGTTTTTATCACCTGTCTTGCTAAATTTAATTAACTTTTGGAGGTGATTAAACACAGGCATGGAATTTTGTATTATCTGATAAGTATATATAGCAGAAATTAAGTCTGCTCGTTTTCATCTTGATCCACCTTGCCAGTCCTTTACATTGACTCTTACTGAAGGCAAGGGTCAACAATACTAGATAATCTAGCATTAATATCTCAAAAGTTGTGATTATAAAAAAGTATGGCATATATGTAACTATTTAATATTATTAAAAGAATGAATGGAAAATCATCTTTTCAAGTTTTTTTCTCCATAAGATTCTCAGAGAAGTCAATGTTACTGTTCCTTAAAATACTTAAAGTAGTTTTCATTTATCTCCCTAAGTCTTCTGAAAGATATATTTAAGTGAAACAATGTGGTTTATGTGCACATGAAAACAGGTTTCTGCACTGTAGCCAGGGGTTTTTCCCATAGCTAAAGTTTCATCCAGTTTACAACATTAAATTACAGTCAAATGTGTAATCATCATAAACACTTTAAAACCCGATTTCTGGGGCCTCCCTGGTGGCGCAGGGGATTGAGCGCAGCGCTGTGAGGCTGTTCATGGCCTTTGCAGCGAGAGTTTGATCCTCAGCCGGCTGGGGAACACCCACATGGCGCAGCAGACCTCTCATGTCTTACCACTGTTCCCCTTAGCAGTGTATTTCAGTAGATCTGCCTGTTCTGCTCCTCACAGCTCTCTGGTGAATCTTCTCAACACCCCTGCGTGCTTCTCCTCGCCCCCCCCAACCCTACTTCTTAAAAAAAAAAGACCTCTATCTCATATTTTGTATTCTGACAGGTGGCAAAGATGCATAAGGAATAATGCAATGACTGTGTGTGTCTACCCTTCACCTATATTTACCAATTGTTTAAATTTTGTTCACCTCATTTGCTTTATATTTTTGTGTTTATTTTTCTCCTCAAGCATATGGGAATAAATTGTAGACCTTACAACATGACAATCAGTTTAAAGAATTTAAGACATTCTGTACAAGCCGAGTACCATGATTCCACTCACGCAACTTAATGTTGATGAAATACTGTTATCTCAATACATTTTCCATATTCATCATATTAACTCAGTTGTTCAAGTAATGACCTTTGTAGATATTTTTTCCAGATCTAGGATCCAGTGTGAGACTACAGATGGCATTTAGTTATCATGTTAAGTTAAAATACTTTAAGATAAGGGATCAGGAAGAAAAATAACTATAATAAAGTAAAAATCAAAATCAACAGGCAACCATAGACTAGAGACATTCTGTAGGGGGGAGGAGGAAGAAGGATCAGAACAGGGCTGGGAAGAACACAAGGGACTATGGTGATGGAACACGGGGGGATTGGTGGTGGGAATTTCACGGGAAATCATACATTGTACAAAAATGAAGAATGATGTTCTATATATATATATGTAAAATACTTTTAGAGTTCCTAGCCTTCCTGTACTGATATTTCAGGAAACTGACATTTTGAAGGTTCAGGCATTGTGAATTTTGCATTGTGCCTCTCCTGATTTTAGATTTACCTGATTGTCTTTTCATAAGTTGATCTTTTTTTTTTTAATTTCATCATAGGGAAATGTGTAGACATTTACAAAGATCAAGAAATAACTCAGTGTACCTAACCTATATTTCTCAGCTTCATCGGTTATTAATATATGGCTAATTTGTTATACACATAAACACACACATAGACACACATCCCAGATTATTTAGAGGCAAATCTGAGTGTAGAGATTTCAGCTGAAAATACTTCCACATTTAAATGTAAAAGATACTGTCTCTTAAAAAATGAAATAGCTTTCCTAACAGAAATGTATCATAGCACTGTAAATAGTCTTACTAGAAAACTTGTAACTTGGATGAACTGTCTAGGTCTACCTACCTAGTTTATAGAGTTGAGAGAACCAGGTTAAGCACAATGGAGATGCAGGCAGTAGAATCCAGAGAGTGATGATTTTATAGAAGAAATGACATAAAAGTGATAAAAATATTAAAGGGTGAAACTGCATTTTGAAAAAGACAAAAGAGAATAATCACCTAAATATAATATATAATCCTTTTGTGGGTCCTGATTGGAATAAACTATTTAAAAAGTAAAGGAGGGGAGTTTTGGGAATTAGAATATTGGACCTTTGCTTTTAAGCATCTTTTTAGTTTTTAAACTATTACAATGGACTCGTAGTTAGTTCACAAAAATTCTTATTCTTTAGAGGGCTGCCCAGGGGTTAAAGTATCAGCACTATCAAGCTGTTGCCAGCCACTGCAGCATGAGTTTGATCCCTGGCCAGGGAGCTACCCACAAGGTGCTGCCGACCACTCCTCACTTGCCCACTGCTTCCCTCAGCAGTATATTTCAGTAGATCCACCTGTTCTTCTCCCCACTCTGTCTCTGATGAATCCTCTTACCCTCTGCACCTCTGGCCTAGACCCCATTCTTTTTTTTAAAAAAAGATTTATTTATACATACAAGAACTAGGGTACAGGCCAGAGATGTGGGGGGCTAGAGAATTCTCCAGCGACAGAGTGGGGAACAGAAATGGCAGATTGACTGAAATACACTGCTGAGGTGAGCAGTGGGCGAGTCAGGAGAGGTCTGCTGCACCATGTGGGTAGCTCCCTCGCTGGCCAGGGATCGAACTTGTGCTGCAATGGCTGTGGATAGCTTCATAGGTTACGTCTTAACCCCCTGCACCACCAGGGAGGCCCGAGGGGATTATTATTGTCATCAAGTTTTCTTCAGTGTTAGTCGCTATCATTACAGTAATAAAAATATATTAGTATGTTGTTTTTGAATTGTTTATAAGAATTTTTTTCCTATTTCTTTTGCTTTTTAAGGTAATGAGCATGGTGTCAGGATTTGCACCTTTGATTTCTGCAGGTATCTTTTCAGCCACTCTTTCTTCTGCACTAGCATCCCTTGTGAGTGCCCCCAAAATATTTCAGGTAAGTATTTTCACATTACAGACTTTATTCAAAAGGGAAAGTTACAGTGATGTATTTCATTTGGGGGTTGGTTTTATTTTTAAACTATGCTTACTTCTGTCAACCCCCATAAATGTATATGATATACATACATACATATATTAACAACTGGTTATTTAACTATGTGAATATGTATATTTATATAAACATTTGTGCCTTTATAACTGAATGTATAGTCTTTGAGTTGTCTTTCTACAAGTATTGATGAATTTTTGTATTTCCTATTCACTCTATTAGCATAAATTTTCTTGTCTTACCAAAGGTAAGAAGGCAGTCCAAGATCATAAAGAAGAATTAAAGAACTGTTCTTAGTAGCATGATGCCAACCTAGATGTTTTATTTTATAGATATTTGGATGGCTGATATGTGGCACACACTATTAGCTACTTAGTATACAATGATGAATAGTATAGACACTATCTTCCTGAGTAAACAAAAGCTGATAATGGGAAATAGTTAATACTTTCTAAATAAAAGAAATGAAATGTTATGTTGATTGTTCAGACTTGTTCTTAATGTCTTTGTTGTAATCAGTAAGTGTGGTAAAGTTGTAGGATATATTTTTTAAAATTGCTTTCAGTAATGTTTTATGAAAAGTGGTTTAGTTTTATAAGTAGGATTGTTAATCTGCTTTAAATCTAGGATTTAAACTTGGTTTTCTTAAAGTGATTCACACCTCTGACATACTTCTCAAACTTCTAAATTTTTTAATTTGTATGCCTGCCTCTCTGATTCCTTCTTTATAAAAATTTCAACACAGGCATGGGGTAACATGGTAACAATTTCAGTGGTATTTGAAGCCAGCTACCTTTTTGATGCATGAAATGTTTAAATCTCCTTTATAGTTTGTAGGTAAAATTCTAAAGGGTGGCTAAATAAAGGGGAAAGACAAAGGACCACAAATTAAAAATTTATGTTCCATTCCCAAATAACTTACTACAGTTTTAATCTAATTTGTATGCTTTATTTCCTGTATTTTTTATTTTAATGTTTACATTAGGCTCTATGTAAGGACAACATCTACCCAGCTTTCCAGATGTTTGCTAAAGGTTATGGGAAAAACAACGAACCTCTTCGTGGCTACATCTTAACATTCTTAATTGCACTTGGATTCATCTTAATTGGTTAGTCATACAAATGGTGTCTTAATGTAGATTTTGATGCATTTCTGGTATTATTCTTCATTTCAGTACTCTGATTTCTTTTATCATTGTATAGTGTTCAGAATACATGTTTCGTTAGATTTACACCTATTTCATTGTATTCAGGCAATTAAAATCTGTACTAATTGAAATGAGTTTAGTTTTCTAATTAAGGGTGTCTCCATAATTACTTTATATTTATAAACATGCTCTTAAGAAGGTATTGATCAGTATTGTTATTTAATTAGATATTGCCCATATTATTACCTGTGCTAAACCACCATATAATAACAGTCTTAGTGGATGCTTGACAGTTTGAACTTTTAAAACATAAACTTTGTGAAGATTATTAGCTTTAAATATTTAATTATTAAGTTGCAAACAGATGTTACTTTGCCTGTTCTTTCTAATCAAATCAAAGTATTTACAAAATACAGCAAATGATAATATTCAATAAATATTTGCTAAAATTATTGCCATTATGAAGTCCCCATTAGTGTTAGGAGAGACTCCTAGGTTTTGTCCCCAAAATAAGGAAGGTAATAGCATAAAGAAAAGGAGTCCAGTTTCTCCATGAACATAGAGCCTATTAATTAATGATCTACTTTTTGGCACTTTTATCTCTGATCACAAATGAGCTAATAGATTTGACTGATAAAGAAGACACTGGACTTTCATTAAAAGCCATCATACCATCAAGTATGAAAATTAATGCTCATGTAATGCTACTTGGTATATATTTGGTATATATACTTTTGGAAAACTAGTTGACAAAACTGAAAAGTTTTCCATGATCAAACAATTCACATTTAAAAAATGAATAAACTTGATTTTCTTATATAATATGGATGAATCTCAAATAAATGTAAAAAACCAAACTAGAATGATATAATTTGACATTATATACCTTTTAAAACACCCAAACCAATACTGCATAATCTGGGGTGTGTGTGTTAGTAAAATCATACATCAATGGGAAAAAAAATACACCAACTTAGTAAGAATGAGGAATAAAGTAGGTTTCAACTGTTGATATAAAGTTTGACTTCTGAAAATAAAGTACAAAGTATACATATGTGGCAAAATATAAGTGGTCATTAAATTTGGATGCTGGGTATAGGGGCATTTCATTATGCTGTTGTCTAAAGGCTTGAAATAACTTTGTAATTTAAAAAAATTTTAAAATGTCAAATATGTTAGTAAGTAAATTCCTTATGTTTCTTTTGCAGCTGAACTGAATGTTATTGCTCCAATTATCTCTAACTTCTTCCTTGCATCATATGCTTTGATCAATTTTTCAGTGTTCCACGCATCCCTTGCAAAATCTCCAGGTGAGTTTCCATTTTTAAATATTTTTATGAATGTGTTGCTATGGTTTGGACAAAGTAAAACTTTCACACATTGTAAAAGATGGTATGTGTGGGATTATCTCATTAATGCTCTGTACCTTTAAAGTTAAACCAATTAAGTGAATCTTGAAATATTTCTTTATTTTGAAGTTTACTTTTTCTTCTCTTTAAGATAGCATTAATATTTAATTCTAACACTAGGAAAGAATTATTTTGCTGCTTTTTATGTTTTTATTTAACTGATTTCTGCTAATTCTAAAGATAATATTATGAGTTAGTTAGCTGTCCAGAAATATTTTTAACACAATGAATTCTATGGCGGTCCAATATAAGGGGTAATCTATCAACTGAAAAAGTACCCCATGTACTTGTATTCCAGGCTTTTTAATTTTAAAAAGCATGACAACAGTTAAGACACCAAGGAAAGAAATGAGGGAACAAAACACTGTCTTTTAAGGATCTAAAATTTACTCAGTAGAGGAAAGATAAAGTATGAGAACTTCAGATACAAATATCTCAGCTTCGAATTTTACTTTAAAAATACAAATTTTAGAGATGGATGTGGGCGTGGCTATAAAAAGGCAGCACAGGGAAGCTATTGTGTTAGAGCCCTTTGCAGTATTAGATATGATAGTGCAATTTTGTAAGATGTTGCCATTGAAGGTAATGAAGTAAAAGGTACCTAGAATCTCTGTATTATTTCTTAAAACGTTTTGTGGATCAGTAGTTACCTAAAAATTAAGTTTATGGGGCCTCCCTGGTGGCGCAAGGGGTTAAGATGCAGCAATATGAAGCTATCCGTAGCCACAGCTGAACGAGTTCAATTCCCGGCCAGGGAGGTGACCCACATGGTGCAGCAGACTTCTGACTCACCTGCTGCTGCTCCCTTCAGCAATGTATTTCAGTTAATCTGCCTGTTCTGTTCCCCGCTCTGTCTCTCTGGTGAATCTTCTCAACCCCCCGCACCTCCGTCTTGTATGCATAAAAAAATAAATTAAGTTTAATTTAAAAAAGACAATAAATTTTGTTGAAAAATAGTAATTATGGTTTGACCTACTTATGAATGAATATTTTTAAATGATTTTCAACATTATTAGAGTGAGCTTAATTCATAAATATTTAACAAAATGGGAGGATACATTTCTATGGCAACTCCTAACTTTCTAACCAGGTAGATGAATTTTTTTAATGGTTCACAAGAACATTTTGTTTGGACTGTTTGATGTTTTCATGGAATATGGCTATGTGCATTGGGTAAAACTAGAAAATAAAGCCAAACTATTAAATAATTAATTGGAACATTTCTTTTAGAACATATTCTCAAGCTTCTAGCACTAATTCACACTTTTTTTTTTTTTTTGCCAAGAGCTTATTGAATACAGAACTATGAATAGTAAGATAGAATAATGTGAGAGTAAACAGGTATACCTTCTTCATGGTCAAAAGAATCATGAAATTAAATTGTGATCAATAACAGCCTATGACTGTACTATTATATGTTAGCCTTATAATTAATGTTTAAAGCTTTCTCAGTAGAGCTACCACAATTATTTTGTGCATGCATATACCATTGTCGAAAGCAGATGAGGTATCTGAGTGACTTTTATTTATTCATGTGTTATTGCAGGATGGCGTCCTGCATTCAAATACTACAACATGTGGATCTCTCTTATCGGAGCAATACTTTGCTGCATAGTGATGTTTGTCATTAACTGGTGGGCTGCATTGCTAACATATGTAATAGTCCTTGGACTGTATATATATGTTACCTATAAAAAACCAGGTCAGTAACCTTTTCTATTTAGTATTTCAAAGCTCAAAAATATCTAGAAGTTTGTTATTTCTCATACCTAAGCATCACCTTTTGTATATCTGAAAGGTATATTTGTGAAAAACTGGAAATACTTTTGAAATACATATAGTTTCAATGAAACAATTATTGGGGCTTTTCATTCTGTGGAATTCCATTCTTACCCATACATTAAATTGAACTAATCTAATTTAATTCTGTGGCACTCAGTATGTTTTAAATTACTCTTGGAAAGGATTAATTTGCCATTCTATTGTAACTGTGAGCCTAGTAAACATATGTAACACCTATTGTGATCTTACTACCTACTGCTGAAGTACTTGGGATTCAAAATTCTAGAAGAGGCAGTGTCTACTGGCTTATATATACTAGGGAAACTTGGACAAATGTGTTTTAACTGCAAAATACTTAAAGATTATCTAGAATTTGTTATATTGATGACTTCTGAATATATTTCCACATAAGTTGATGATTCTCATATAGATATTATTCAGAATGTTAAACTGTGATACTGCGATAGAGAAGAAAGATCCATTGAGGGACGTTTTAAAATTTTGGCCCAAAAGAATGGATGATGAAAAATTATGAGATAGTTAAAACATACTCATCTTAAATAGTGAAAAAGCATTTTAGGGCCTCCCTGGTGGCACAGGTGGTTGAGCGTGGTGCTGTGAAGCTGTCCGCAGCCTCTGCAGTGCGGGTTCAATCCCAGCTGGCCACAGAGATACCCACATGGAGTGGCAGACTTCTCCTGTCTCGTCTGCTGCTCCCCTCAGCAGTGTATTTCAGTCAATCTGCCTAGTTCTGTTCCCTGCCTGTCTCTAGTGAGTCCTCTCATCCTCCTGCACATCTGGCCTGTACTCCAGTTCTTATATGCATGAATAAATAAATCTTTAAAAAAAAAAAAAAGCATTTTCTAATCCTGGCTTAAGAAAAAAGAGATTTTGGTGGCTCTAGAAATGAACAACAAAGATAGGGTTTTAGATGCAATTATTTCTCTGACACACCTATTAAGACTCTAAAGTAATCTAAATATCTCTAAATATGTAAAATCATCAGTTGGTATCCAGGCTTATAAGTCAGTAAGGAATAAAATTTGTTAGTTTGAAAAAACTATTTATTACTATAGTGCATTTTGGCTATCAGAGCTCTGCCTTTTTCCATTTAGACCTTTGGGCTATATAAATATTTTCAAAATGTTTTCTATACTTTATTGAGTTGGATACAGCATGTCTGCATTCCGGTAATGTCAGTCTTTCCTAACTTTTACTTTTATTTAAATGCAGTTGTAGTTCAGACTAGTCATGTCTTAATGTCATGCTATGAATATTGGAGTTCCAAGTTTAATAGTTTATTTCACCAGTTGACTTTGTAGATATGAAAGCATTGACTTAGGTGTGTCTCAAATTAGTTTTTAATTGGTTGTTAGTGTTACGCTACATAAACACTGTCTTCTAACAGATGTGAACTGGGGATCTTCTACACAAGCCCTGACTTACCTGAGTGCACTACAGCACTCGATTCGTCTGTCTGGAGTAGAAGACCATGTGAAAAACTTTAGGTAATAGAAATATATTGTCTTGGATGGCAATTGCTCTTTACTTTTTGTTCAATAACATTTTCATATGCTGACATTGCAAGTAAAATTCTCTGAAAGCATAAAATACTATGCTGTTTTCATTTATGGTTAGACTTGTACAGTTTATTCAAAAACAAGATTGTAATTTCTTAGTAATTAAAATTACACGAACCTTATAAAATGTCATGAAAATTTTAGTCTTCTATTTTGAAGTTTTCATGTTGGTATAACCTCCAAAAAAGATCTGTTCTACCAAATTTTTTTTTAATAAGAAAAGTCTTTGTATATTATTTTTGTTGCTATTTGTGTGTCTTCTCCCACCCCTTTCTATAATGGAAAGTTCTTAGAAACCACAGGTCTTTAGATTTAAAGTAGAGGGAAACTGGGAAGAGAAAAAGGAATGAGAGTCTTGGGAGGAAAACTTGGATACAAAATATACAAACCATTCCTTTATGTAGAAGTTACATCACAGAACTAAGGATGTGGTCAGTTAATCTGTCATCAATAAAAAACCCATTACACTGGCTTATTAGAATATTAAAAAATATTATTCCAATATGACTTTTAAGATTTTTATGATAATTACATAATATAGCTTAAAGAGGGGGGAAACTTAGATTTGTCATGAAAAGTAGTGCCAACCCTTCATACTCTTACTTCTTTCACATAGGCAACCACTTTCATTCATAGCTCTTTCATTTAATATTTGTTTCATATTCCCAAAGAGCATGCCTGTCTTCAATTTTTATTTCTGACATTATTGTTTTTTATCTGCATGGGACCACCATGTATCACAATTTTATTATTAGTTTGATTCAATCATGTTTGGTGCTTTCATTTTTGTGATTTATTTTTTAAACATGAATCAGACATGAACCATATATATAGTAAATTATGATTTTCTTTTTGTTTTACTGTTAGAGCTTTCTTTCTTCCTTTTTCATCCAGAGGTTTTCTTTTCCTTTCCTTCTTTTAACTTTTTTATTTATCACAATCTCAATCTTTACCAAACTTGCTAAAAGATTATTTTTGCTTCACTTTGTAGTTTCTGTGAAGTGTCTTTTCCACAATTTTCTGTTTCTTTAATTTGTAGTCTTAGATTTAGCCTTTTCTGAAATATCTGTTATATCCTTGGTGAGGGAAGATCTATATTAGTGTATGGGACTTGTCAGTTGAACCCCTTAATGTGGATTTAGAAAGTATTAGTTTCTTCTGATCTGATTAGATTTACCAGAAAAGAATCTTTTAATTTTCTCGTTGATAGCCCTGGCTACCAGAGTTCTGATAGCCAAGTAGGGGAACTGCTTAACGATCTCAGGGTTCAGCATGTAAATGTGATACTAACTCCCCTGTTTAGAGTATATTTGCTATCCTTTCATATGTTGCTGGTGTATCCCAACCAGAGGCATCTTCTACAGCAAATAAGCCTCTCCATAACAGATTTGGAGAGGGACAGAAGTAATTGCCCATCATAATGATGGGAATGATCTTTCATTGCTTCATAAGAAAACTTTACACAAGTCCTTATATTCTTTAACACATTGCCCCTGCCACTTTCTAAACTCCTAGGCAAATCTAAGTTTCTTCCTTCTTAAGCCTAAGGATTTGTCAAATCCTTTATCTCCTTTCTAGGTTGCAATAGTTCAGTTTTACTGTGTCCTCCCCTATTCTCAGTATCTTTATGTTTTTGTGCCTATAGTCCCATTAACATTACAGAGATTTTTGAGGAAGGAGTTAGAATAAAAGCAAATGTTTATTACTTTATCATTATTACTAAAAGACATTTGTAATGTATTTTGTACTGTGTGTTGCTTGGTATGATAAAACTATACCAAACAATGCCTTTGTGGTATACTTATTACTTGGTAAAGATAGGAATTACAAGTTAACTTTTCATAGTAAATGGGAAAGTTAATGTATAGGTTAAAACTACCATAATAAAAAGGCTGAAAGAACACAGTGGCTCAAATAAGATAAACACCCATGTTACATGATTATTGTCTAGAGGTAGATGGATGGTTAAATAGCAGATATACAAATTTGCTGCACTTGGTCATTAGGGTGTCATTTTTTGTATTTTACCAATCTGCCATTCCTAAGTTAGACTTTTTTTACTCTATTTGTGTATCTGTCAGTGTCATTACACCTCCATTCTTAGTCTAGCTTACAGGAAAGGCAAAGAAAGTATGGAGGCCAGCTTCCTTTTTCAAGGACATGATCTGGAAATAGGAACATCTTATGGGCTATAACTGTTAGCTGCTTGGTAGGCTAGCATAGACAATCTCCGCTAGGTAACTGCTAAAGTTTAAAAGGTAAGCTGAATACTAAGGACAGTTAATTAACAGTCTGGGCCATATGGCTTAATTTTATGATTGATTAGTTCATAAGCAGTTCTCCCATAGAATTGGTTTTCCAGCTTGCTTGCTAAAATCCTAGTTAAGTCAGTATTTGGGAGGTCTTTATTCAGGTTCTCATGCTTAAAATGAGTATAGTTTAGAACTATCCTAAGAATAAATTAAATGTTTTAGATTTTTTAGTCTGTTTCTTTGCTTCTTGTTAAATTTCTTTTAACTTTTATAAATTCTTGTCATAATATTTTGTTATCTGTACTTATAAAATAGAGGCCTTACTAATTTTTTTTAAATAATAAATTTTATTTTTATATTCCGCATACAATTGCAGCCCCCCCATTCTGACCCCAATCCCTCCCCTCCCACCCCTCACCCCCCAAAGAGTGTCTCTGGTTCGTAGTTTTTTGTTGATTTTGATTTTCACTTTCTTAGAGTTATTCATTTTCCTGGTCCCTTATTTAAGTTCTCTAGATTCCTGCTATGAGTGAGACCATGCGGTATTTTTCTTTTTCTTTCTGGCTTATTTCGCTGAGCATGGTCCCTTCCAGCGCCATCCATGTTGCTGCAAATTGCATGTGTTTATCTTTTTTGAATGCTGAGTAATATTCCATGGTGTATATGGACCACATCTTCTTGATCCAGTCATCTATTTTTGGGCATTTGGGCTGTTTCCAAAGCTTAGCTATTGTAAATAGTGCTGCTATAAACATAGGGGTGCAGGTGTTCTTTGGAATTGATGTTTCTGTGTCCTTTGGGTAAGACCTAGGAGTGGAATTGCTGGATCATATGGAAGCTCTATGTTTAGTAGGTCCAGAAATCTCCACACAGCTCTCCATAGTGGTTGGACCAGTTTGCACTCCCACCAGCAGTGCAGAAGAGTTCCTTTTTCTCCACACCCTCGCCAACATTTGTTGTTGCTAGTTTTTTTAATATGTGCCATCCTCACTGGTGTAAGATGGTATCTCATGGTAGTTTTGATTTGCATTTCCCTGATGACAAGTGATGTTGAACATTTTTTCATATGCCTGTTGGCCATTTGCATTTCCTCTTCAGAGAAGTTTCTTTTTAGCTCTTCTGCCCATTTTTTGACTGGGTTATTTTCTTTGTTGTTGCTGAGTCTCATCAGCTCTTTGCAGATTTTTGTGATCAGTCCTTTATCATTACTGTTGTGTGCAAAAATGTTCTCCCAGTTGGTGGGGTTTCTCTTTGTTTTTGTTATTGTCTCTTTTGCTGTACAGAAGCTCTTTAATTTGATGTAGTCCCAGCTGTTTATCTTTGCCTTCACTATCACTGCTTTGGGTGATGTGTCTGTAAAGATGTCTTTGATGTGCAAATCACGTAGTGTTTCGCCTGTATTTCCTTCTATATATTTTATGGTTTCAGGTCTTATGTCTAGTTCTTTAATCCATTTTGAGTTGATTTTTGTGTATGGTGTGAGGTAGTGGTCAAGCTTCATTCTTTTGCATGTAGCGACCCAGTTTTCCCAGCACCATTTATTGAACAAACTTTCTTTGCTCCAATGCATAGTCTTTGCTCCTTTGTCAAAGACTAGTTGACCATAAATCTGTGGGTTTATTTCTGGATTTTCTATTCGATTCCATTGGTCTGTATGTCTGTTCTTGTTCCAATACCATGCAGTTTTGATGATTATGGCTTTGTAGTAGAGTCTGAAGTCTGGGAGTGTGATGCCTCCATTCCCTTCTTTTTTTTTCAGGAGAGCTTTGGCTATTCGGGGTTTTTTGTGATTCCATATGAATTTCATCAATAATTGTTCTATTTCTTTGAAGAATGACATTGAAATTTTGATTGGAATAGCATTGAATCTGTATATTGCTTTTGGTAGGATGGCCATTTTAATAATGTTTATTCTTCCAATCCATGAGCAGGGAATGTCTTTCCATTTCTTTGTGTCTTCTATTTCTTTTAACAGTGTTTTATAGTTTTTTACTTACTAATTTTTTTAATCAAGTAAGACTGATATCCATTGCCAGTCAGTGAAAATTAAGAGTTAAATGTATTAAACTCCTTCTACTGTTATATTTTTACAAAGACATATGAATTAAATTTTGGCTTTCATCATAATTAATTAGAATTATAATGTTTATTTCAAATAAAAACCATTTCTTCATCAGGAGCAGTTTCACTCATGTGACAACAGTCATTAAAATTAAGCTATATTAGAGAGGGCTAATATTACAAAGTAGGAGTAATTATGATGTGATGAAATAAGGAGAAAAATGACCTTGAGGGCCTTCCTGGTGACGTAGGCAGTTGAGCACAGCGCTGTGAAGCTGTCCGCAGCCTCAGCAGCCAGATTCAATCCGGGCCGGCCGTGGAGATACCCACATGGCGCAGCAGACCTCTCTTGTCTCGCCCGCTGTTCCCCTCAGCAATGTATTTCAGTCAGTCTGCCTGTTCTGTTCCCTGCTCTGTCTGATGAATCTTCTCACCCTCTCGCACATCTAGCCTGTACCCCTTTTCTTGTAATAAATGTTTAAAAAAGGAGAGAGAAGTGACCTTGAGAGTATGGCTTTGCTGTCATGTACCAATAGAAGTTTTGTGCACTCTGTGAAGACAGTGGGTGAATCAGGAGAGGTCTGCTGCACCACATGGGTTCCTCCCTGGCTGGGGATCGGATTTTTGCTGCAGTGGCTGCGGAGAGCTTCATAGGTTGCATCTTAACCCCTTGCGCCACCAGGGAGACCCCATTTATTACTTTTAGAAGATGAAGAGTTATTAACTTTTTTTAAACTAGCTTACCCCTTTCTTTCTATATGGCTACCAGAACTGTAGTGTCTAATATTACCTGTTGCTTTAGAGGGACATTTGGCTGGATGCTTATTTATCCCAAAAAGATTTTATTTCTGTAATTTTTTTCCAACTGAAAGCCCTTTTGAAATTTATTTAAGTACTTTATATAAATTAAATATGAAAAATGAAAGTCTTTTCTGCACATCAGAAACAAACTGTTATTAGAGAAAATTTCCTCCTTGTTAAATATACAAAGTACCTTGATAAAACGTATGAAATGCTGTGAGAGACACACAATGAAGACCCAATGAACTGACTGGAGGACATAAATAATTTAAAATGATTAAGTTTATCTGAAATTGAAAATGACTGCACAGTCATGAATATTTTCTTAAAACAATAAAAAAAATTAGTGGCAGGCATTCAAAACATATAGTATAAAGGGGGAAGAGGGTGGGGGTGGAATCTTATTGTTGTAATAAAATAATCCCAGAATGTAACAGAAAGGCCAGAAACAGATTCAAATGCATGCAAGTTTTTTTATTATATGCCAAATATAGCTTAGAATCAGTGGTGAAATGATGGATTATGTAGTTTGGTGCTAGAAAGAGTAGATAAAATTGGACATGGACAGAGTGAAAGCCCTCCCTCATACACTAATTTACCCAAATAAATTCCGTACAAAGAGAACGAGGACTAAAATTAAATATTTTAAAATTAAAATATTTTAAAGAGCTAGATATTGTTTCTGTGTTTCTTATGTACCAAGTTAAGTACCTGATTAAAAATCACATTCTTATATGCAAATCCTTTGGCTTGTGTCATGACATTTGCATAAAGAATGTTCTAATGTATTCATTTATTCTTACAGAAACAACTTAAAATCATGTCTTTGTTAACCAAAGCCTAAACTTTTCTGTTTTATTTGTTTTTTAATCATAATTTAGGCCCCAGTGTCTTGTTATGACTGGTGCTCCAAACTCACGTCCAGCTTTACTTCATCTTGTTCATGATTTCACAAAAAATGTTGGTTTAATGATCTGTGGTCATATACATATGGTAAGTTTTGTTTCTTCATTAAAACAGTTTTCAGGTTTCACTGTTTTGGAATTTTAGAAATCAGAAGTAATTTGGTAAAATAGATAAATCTGTTGAGCTCTTCTTAGGTAGTTTTTTTTTTTTTTTTTAAAGATTTATTTATGCATGCATGCAAGAACTGGAGTACAGGCCAGAGGTGTGGGGGGTGAGAGGACTCACCAGAGACAGAGTGGGGAATGAAACAGGCAGGCAGACTGAAACACACTGCTGAGGGAAGCAGCAGGCGAGTCAGTAGAGGTCTGCTGCGCCATGTGGGTAGCTCCCTGAGTGGCCGGGGGATCGAACTCGTGCTGCAGTGGCTGCAGACAGCCTCATAGGCTGTGTCCCAATCCCTTGCACCACCAGGGAGGCCCAGTAGTTATTTTAAGATATTTATGCTTTTAAACTGTTTCAAACCCTTACTTTTAAAAAGATTTTGAAATATTGAAACTTATTTTCTTACCCATTATGAATACATTTAAGAAACTGCATTGCCCTTATAGAAATCTTTGACTAAGAAAAATATAACCAAGTAGCTAAATGAAATTCAGTTTTCCTTTTTCTTATTGTTATTTCTCATAAAGTCCTGAGAAAACTGGGAACGTTTACTTACCAGGAAAAATAGAAGGTGGAGGAGGTAGATAATTCATGGTAAATATCTAGTATGTATATGTAAGATCAATGTTGAATGCTAAATTTCCAAGTTCAAACACCTTTAAATGCCCACTCGTTTTAACCATAAGTCACAAATTAATAAAAATAGCAGTACACTGTCATGTAAAAGTAGTTTTCTGTTTTTGACACCTTTGCTACTAGAAATAGTCAACAGATGATAGACATCTGCATAAAAAATTGGAGTCTTTGTCAGTTTCGCTTTTTTCTGAAATTCTGTATCATCTTGTTTTGGTGCTAGAACTGTGTATTTTATGCCCCATACCCAGCCCCTGCTAGAGTTGCTCTTCTAGCTGTAAGGAACAAAGTTAAAGCTGTGCGTGGGCACCTTTGTATATTGGTGGAGACACATGACTGACTCTATGCGGAACTTGTGATGTTTTCCATTTTGTCCCTAGGTTGATAACTTAAGTTAGAGAATTGAGCACAAGAAATTACAAATGCAAAATTTCCCTACTAAGAATATAAATTGTATTTTTCCTTTACTTAATCATATTTTATTAGGGTATGCCCAAATTTACCTTTAGATTATTTTATTATTTATAACTTTGTGTATAATATATTTTATGTACAAAGATCAATTTAAGTAGAATTTCAAGTTGTACTTCCTTTCTTAGATTATTTCAACTTTTAACCAAAGTATAAATATAAATAGTATATACATCATTTTGATTTCAATGATATTTCTAAGTTAACCGAGAATTCAACATTTGAGACAAACAAAAACATGCTATAAAGCTTTCTGTGAGGCAGAGAAGGCTATTATTTTTCTCTGTAGTTTCTTCTTTTTTTCAATAATTTCTAATTTTTCTGATTTACTGAGTGTTCAAAATACTTATTTTTAAGTCTGTGTTCCACCTGCTTTCTTCTCCCTTCTGTTGATTCCTCCTTTACCTTAACTATTCCAGCAACAGGGCCTCCCCTAGTGGCGCAGCAGTTGAGCAGTGGGCTGCGAAGCTGCCTGCAGCCTCTGCAGCGCTGGTTTGATCCCTGGCCACCAGCGAGGGTCCCACATGGCACGACAGACCTCTCCTGCCACCCGCTGCTCCCCTCAGTGTATTTCATCACTCTGCCTGTTCTGTTCCCTGCTCTGGTGAATTCTCTCACCCTCACGGGCTTCTGACTATACCCAGTGCTCGTATAAATAAATAAATCTTAAAAAAAAGAAAAAAACTATTCTAGCAACAGACCTATTATTTTATAATCTTCATCACTGGAAAGAATTCACTGACCTGAAAATGAAATGTTATATTTGTCTACCCACAATATTTAGGCACCTTTTTAAAGCCAGTAAAATAAGATGCCTTTTATAAGTGTGGAATAGATTACCTTTCAATTAAAGATGTTATTAATATTATTACTTTTCAAGGGTCCTCGAAGACAAGCCATGAAAGAGATGTCCATTGATCAAGCCAAGTATCAGCGATGGCTTATTAAAAACAAAATGAAGGGTTTTTATGCCCCAGTACATGCAGATGACTTGAGAGAAGGTGCACAGCATTTGATGCAGGTAAATTTGCTATGCTTTTCAAGATAACATTGTAATTGTAAAAGCTTTTAAGAACTATTTCATTTTCTGTATGTTTGCTGATAGCAAGTGTTAGAAATTGTGTGGAACAACTGGAAAACTTTGAGCTGTGGGGTAAATATAGACTGGACAGGGCCTTTGGACAGCAATGTGGCAGTGTCCTTCAAATTTGAAAGTTGTGAATATCATAGAACATTACACTATTGAGTGTATACCTTAGAAAAACTTAAACACTACATGAAACTCCTTAGAAGTATCATTTATAATGGTGAAAACAAACTGCAGTAACCATGAATTACAGAATTGAAAACTGGTATAACCATACTGTAGAATTCTACACAGTGATCCAAAAGAACTATACATATCAACAGCGATAAACTCAAAAACAAAAATATTAAGGAAAAACAGCAAGTTTTAAAAGGATATGAATAATATCCTTTTAATTAATATCCAATTTTAATTAAAAATATATATACTTATGAATGCCTAAATTATGGAACATATAGAATTAACAAAGGTAGCATGAGAAGGGCACTTGATCTGTGCTTATAATCATTTATTTTCTTAAGCTAAGTCGTAGATAGTATATAATTACGTATGTTTCACTTTTGTATGTGAAATATTTAAATATTTCAGGCAGAATGGTACCTCCAGTCTCAAGGTTCTTTCTATTTTTGTGTGTGTAGAAGATCTGGGGTGTAGGCCGGAGGTGCAGGGGTTGAGAGGATTCACCCAAGACAGTGGGGAGCAGAACTGGCAGATTGACTGAAATACACTGCCAAGGGGAACTGTGGGAGAGACAGAGAAATCAGCTGCACCTTATGCACCTTAGCTCCCCAGCCAGGGATTGAACTCAGGCTGCAGTGATCATAGGGCTGAGATTTAAGCCCTAGGCCACCAGGGAGGCCCCTCAAGGTTATTTCTAGTGGGAAAATTTTGCTCTTGAACAATTTATGGGAACACTTCTATAACCACTTTATTTAATAAAAGAGATATGCTATGAAAGAGATACAGAAAAATGTTGATCAAACCAGTGATTGTTAAACTTTAAGCATGCATCAGAATTACCTAGTATACTTGTTAGAACACGGACTGCTGGAACTTTGCAATGATTGGTAGTTCAGAGATTTTAGTTTCCATGTGCTGCTGCTGCTGGTTGAGTCCAGGCTCAACACTTTCAGAACTGTTGCTCTCAAAGCTTTCTGAAGTATAAATTACAGCACTGGTAAGAGTTAGGACCCATCCTCCTAATCACATTCCCCTCATGTAACATGTTCATCCCAGGGGATCACTATAATTTCACTAGAGAGGAGCAAGATTAGGATAGAAGAGATGGAACTGTCATTCCAGGACTGCCCTATAAACCTGGGCAGTGCAACCACTTTACAAAAATACATGAGGTTGATTCATTTTACTCTGGTGTCAGAGCCATCTGACAATCTAATTAAAATAGCCTTAAAAATACATGAATTATCTCTGTAGACCTAATCACCAAAGTTTTAGTTTCCAGGCCTCCGGCCTCAGGGTTAGGTCTTAGCGCTACCACTGCAATGGCCTGAGTACGATCCCAGGCCAGGGAGCTAATATAACCCACATGGCGCAGCAGACCTCTCCTGTTTTCCTTGATGCTCCCCTTAGCAGTGTAATTCAGTTCATCTGGCTGTTCTGCTCCCCACTCTCTAGCGAATCCTCTCAACCCCCCACCTTTGGCCTGCACCCCAGTTCTACACAAAAATAAAATCTTTTAAAAAACTAAATAAAATTTTAGTTTTCAGTTGTCACTAAGAATATTTCTCCTTCCTTTGTACCTACTGGAAACTTGTTACAAAAAGTGCTAAATGCCTCTGTATCTTCTACATACAGGTTTATAATCTTTGCCACAAAAAGTTTTTGTACAATGTTTTGTTTCTGCAGCGTCTTATTTTATATAGTTCCAGAATGCCCCTTGTAGATGGTTTGTTTTACTTTACCAGATACTGTGATGTTTCATTTCTCTGTTCCCTATTTGTTTAGTTACTATTTATAATCATAACCATTTATGCATCATTAAACTAGCACTTAAATATCTAGCCTTCATGGTAGAACTCAAGATTCACTTTTAACAGGCAGTCTTATCAATAACTTCTGTAGGAGCCCTTTGCCAGTGAGATAGGACTGCTAATTTCATTATTGTTTATATTTGAACTTAAGGGCTTTTTTTTTAAAGGCAGAAGTTACTTAATATTCAATTCAATTTTACACTTTCATTTAAAATAGCAAAAACCCATTGTTATTGCTGAAAATTCAGACTATAGTATATGGCTTTTTAAAACAAGTGAACCTCATTTGGTCTTATTTCTTAGTTAAAAAAGCCTAGAATATTCTTGTGTAGTAAGTGTTGACTATTTCTGACACTTTATCAGCCACATTTTGAGGTAAACTGCTTATTTTAAAAGTGTTCTAAAATAAGTAGATCAAAATAGCATTGTCAGGTCAGAGTATTTGAAATATATATAATTATGCATGTTTGGAGGCTCAAGAATTTTTGATAAGGGTAAATAACTTTAAAATGTTTAGAGGATATTTGGAGGAGTACATCATTTAAAACATTTTGTTGAATAGTATATCTTTAAAGTTGTATTTTTCCTACATTAACTAGGCTGCTGGTCTTGGGCGTATGAAACCAAACACACTTGTCCTTGGATTTAAGAAAGATTGGTTGCAAGCAGATATGAGAGATGTAGATATGTATATAAACTTATTTCAGTAAGTATCCTTTTAATTCAATAACTTGGTTTAAAAAATTCATTTTGAAACCTGCATTGGGTTTTGAAGCCCCATTTCTTATCATAAAGTGTCTGTTAGTAGAAGCAATAAGAATGAAAAGAAAGACAAGAGATTATCTGGATTTTAAATTGATGATCTAACAAAAAATTTTGATCCTTCGATGTTTCCTTGCAAATGCAAGCATACATTGTGTATGTATACATACATGTTACATACATTTTTATATATTCTGGCTTCCCATCTAAGTAGGCAAGATTTTTCAGATCTCTACAGGTGTTGCTAAGCAGAGTTCCCAAATGTTGATAGACTCATCATCTTCAAAGTTAATGTCATCATAATAGCTGATGCTGACGAAGGGCATTTCATAACATAAATCTAGCTTGGGTGTAGGTTTGTTCCAATCTCAAATTAATTTTGCCATTAATCACTTGAGTTGACCCATTATTTACATTCTTTTTAAAAATGCAATTGTGAACTATAAGTTCTGAACTTACTCACTTTTCGGTGTTTTTTTTTTTTTTTTTTAAAATGATCTTTTATTAGGCAATTCAGTTTCGGTTTGCATTACTTTAACCTATCTTTTATGAGCTGTCTAGTGGGTTCTTTTTACTGTCTTTTTAATTTTACTTAAGTCATATTACTGATTTTGGCACTTGTATCTGTTTAATTTGCCACTAATACATTTTGGAAGTTTCTTCATTTTTTCCAGGTTTTCTTTTTAATCTTGAAAAGCACTTTTTTCCTACTATTCTGGGGCTTGAATTAAAAAAAATCTGATTATCTTACTCAGTTTGTTTAATAAAGGGATAATGATTACTAATCTCTTACTGTACCATACTTGAAGAGTAGTCTTCTTGTCATAACTACTGATGAGATAGAACTGTTCTCTTTAGAAAGTATTTCTTTATAAACAAACAATTGTACCACTAAAAATTATATTTGGGCAAAGTAACTCTTGAGACTAGATTCAAATCCTGTTTCTCTAAATTTTACCTGATTATCCCTTAACTCACTAGAGTGGTTCATATGGTTTGTTATGTTGTGACTTTGGCTACCTTTAGACTCATCCTACCTTTCCAATTCTATGCTGTATACTTTGTATATATAGGGATTAGGGGGAAAAGCACAGTGAAACAAAGATTAAATCATGTGGACTGTGATCCAGGGAATATATTTTTTCTCTCTGGAGATGTTAAGGCTAGTAAGATGGTCTTATTATCCTACAAAATAGAAAAAGTGGCTTTTTTTTTTTTTCAAATAATTCTTTCACTGTTACAGTTCTCATAAAGGAAATATTGCCCTTCTAACTCCCTTGTAGGACTGAAGTGAATGTTTGGTCCAGAGTAAAGCATAACTCTAAATACTCTGCTTCAGGTAGTAATTAGAAGATAGTTCAAAATACTGCTTCTCTGGTTTCTAGAGCCATAGAAATTTATGGCAGTTTCAAAGTAGCTTATCCTTTTAACTTTGTTATTGATGAAAATTCAGACTATAGTATATGGCCTTTAAAAACAAGTGAACCTCATTTGGTCTTATTTCTTGGTTAAAAAAAGCCTAGAATATTATTGTGTAATAAGTGTTGACTATTTCTGACACTTTATCAGCCACATTTTGTACTTAGGCTACAGCTGAGGAAAGTTAACATCGATTAATTTCTACAGTGAATCTTGTTTGACCTCAATTAACTTACCTTACAAAACTGGCTTCCTATGATTTAAAAGTACAACAAAAGATCTTGTTCAATGATCTGAACAGTCTTATCATTTTATTAGATTTTAGTCTTTTTGTTATATATAGCTACAGAATAATATATCACATAATAATGTATGTAGGAAATGTTTATTCCTGTAGAATTTAAGATAAGAATTAGAGATAAAAAATAAACCTTTTTACACACTTTTGGGAAACATCTTAAGTTTTGGAATTTGAAATTCTTCAGTAGATTTGAGAAGAACTTGGGTCTAAATGGTTTATGGTCTTAAAAATTTCCCAGAATATAAGCCTTATTTTAAAGCAGTCTCTGAGGGGGCCTCCCCTGGTGGCGCAGCGGTTGAGCGCTGGGCTGCGAAGCTGCCCGCAGCCTCTGCAGCACCAGTTCAATCCCCGGCCACCAGCAAGGGTCCCGCAGACCTCTCCCACCGTGCCTTCTGCTCCCCTCAGCAGTGTATTTCGTTGGTCTGCCTGTTCTGTTCCCCGCTCTGGCTCTGGTGAATTCTCTCACCCTCCCGTGCTTCTGGCTGTACCCAGTGCTTGTATAAATAAATAAATAAATCTTTATTAAAAAAAAAAAAAAAGGCAGTCTCTAAGGTTTAATGTATTTTACATATTATTAGGATGGTCCCATTTATATTAAAAAATAAAGCACGTATGAATACATGTGTGCAAATGCATGTAAAATCTTTGGATTATGTTTTAAAATTAGTTTTGCAAAAATTAAATTACTGAAAAATATCCTAAAACCTTTCAGAAATGATCTTATTATATTCTACACTGCTTTCAGTAAAATGTTTCTCTGTATTCATGTATTTCTTTTGGCTTTAAGGGAATAAGCCTAAAATTAAATATGATGGGACTGAAAGTTGTTTCTCTATAATTTTAGTTTGTTTCTAAAAGGATAAAAATATAGTTATTGCTTTCAACAGCTGATAGTGGTAGAATATCAATACTATAAAGAACTATATTTTAAGTTTTTTGTTTTAATTATTTTTATTGAGATAATGTTGGTTTTATAACACTTTTATGTTTTAGGTGTATAGGTTCACACCTCTACAGGTGTGTGTTTTTCATACCACACCCACCACCAAAGTAGCAATAACAGTTTTTAAGGGTGTAGATAAAAAGGGAGAAGGATTAGCATAGGATTTGGTACCAACTTATGGATCTCACTGTAATTTTTAGAAGCATTTTTAAGAAAAATCCCATTTAAAGCTGAAAGAATTTAAGACATCATTTATTACTGAATTCATTATATTGAGTACACAAAACATTTTTTATGACTTTTTTTTTTTTCCATTATAGTGATGCCTTTGACATACAATATGGAGTTGTGGTAATTCGCCTAAAAGAGGGTCTGGATATATCTCATCTTCAAGGACAAGGTAAATCTTGTTTGAAATAAATGTTTTGTTTTAAAATCTTATTTTGCTAGAAAATTATGTATAATCCTCACAATTGTTTCAGTAATTTTATTGTGTACTACCTGTTCTCTGTCTTCTTTAAAGATTGGCATTTTAAGATCAGATCTATTTGACCCCAACAACATTTCTGTTTTCTCTGTACCAGTCTGGATGATGGCTCATGATTATTAATGGAGGGAATAAAATTCAATCCAAATCATAATTTTAAGAAAAACAATTCTTACGATTTAGATTAGCCAGTTTTATAATAAAAATACATAATTAATAAAATAATCAGAAACATTTTTAATGGTTACTAAGGCATTATTTTTATGTTTGTGAAAGACATGCTTTGTAAATTAGAGGCATATAAAGTAAAAACTAAATTCTGTGATGTCATTTACTTTCTTTAGAAAAGATCTTTTAAATCAGTTTTTTAAACTTTTAAATGTTTAGTAATTTTACTTACATGCATAGAGGTTCTTTGTACTCTTCATATAGTTTCCCCTATGGTAGCATCTTGCATATCAGTAGTTCTAAATTGAAAGAGCATTGGGACAATCAAATTTCACCCTTTTTACATACACTTGTGTATAGCTGATCATATTTTTGTAGCATGTCACCATTTATTATATATGTTCATTCATGTAACTACTGTCACAATCAAGATAGAGAACTTTTCCATACCACCAAAATCTCCCCTATGCTATTGTTGTGAAGTTCTCCATACTTTGCCCTTATCCACTGTTGTTAATCCCTGACACCCACAATGTCTTTTTCAACTTTATAATTTTTAAAGAATTGTTTTAAAAGTGATGCTTAAGCCCTAATTGAGGGATAGTGTTTCTGCTGAATTTACAAATATAATAGAAAATTCCAATCCCTAAAAACAATAAACTGCAGGTTTGAGAGAATGCTTTGAGGTTTAATATCCACATAATACAGAAGTATGGCTTTCTGAAAATGAATTTTCTTACTCTGGTGTATGCCTTGCAAATACTCTTTCAGTTCTCTCTTGCTCTGCTTTGACTAATATTTAGGGTACTTGTAATTCTGTATAGTTACTAGTAGTATTTTCTTTGATGTTCAAAAATACTATAGTTTGGCTAATTATATAGTTCTATAATTTACCAAGATCTGAATGTGATTGGAATATCTTTATAATCATTATGAAAAATTTTTGAAAGCTATGATATATTCATCAAGATTTAGAGACAGGAATTTGGTTTAGCACAGGGATTAAGAGATTAGACTTTGGAATCTGACAGATTTGCTTTAAAAATCCAGCATTTTCTTGTAATAAATGGTTTTATAGCCTGGGCAAATTTGCTGACTTCCAAGCCTCAGTTTCTTCATCTCTTAAAATACATACTCTCTAGGGTTGTTGTGAAGATTGGACCTGTCAGGCTGTCAGCATTATTGCTGGCCTGGCCCTTAGGCTCACATAGTTTGTTATTTTTCTTAGTACACACAGATCAGTGGTAAGGGTTATGAATGGATGATCTATTTCATACTACATTAGTCTTTATGATAAATGGCTTATTTTTGGTGGTGGCGGAAGGTAAATGTTTACTAACTCCTTTCCAAAAGATAGAAAATGAACATTTATTTATTTATGCACACAAGAGCTGGGGTACAGGCCAGATGTTTGTATGTGTGGGGGGTTATTCACCAGAGACAGAGTGGGGAGCAGAACAGGCAGATCGACTTAAATACACTGTTGAGGGGAGCAGCGGAGGAGACAACAGAGGTCTTTTGTGCCATGTGGGTAGCTCCAAGGCTGGGGATTGAGCTCGTGCTGCAGTGGCTGCAGACAGCTTCATAGGTTGCATCTTAACCCTCTGCACCACCAGGGAGGCCCCAGTCGCTTGTATTTTAAGCAAAAGTTATTTCAAAGCAGAGTATCTCATTTGTTTGCCTAAGAAATCATTTGTAATAAACTTTGATATTATACCATGTTTTCTTTAATGGTTTAAGATTTAGATAATATTTTGAATATTTTCGTATCTGCAGAAGAATTATTGTCATCACAAGAGAAATCTCCTGGTGTCAAGGATGTGGTACTTAGTATGGAGTATAGTAAAAAATCAGATTTAGATACTTCCAGAACATCTGGTGAAAAAACCATTACACATAAAGGTAATTTTTATTCAAACAAGAAATTTATTAATGGTAATGCTTTAATTATAAAGTAAATTGTCTCAACATGTACTGCTTTTTCTACTTGCTTAGGTAAAATTTGTACCTTTGAAAAATGACTACTAATTACTACTTTTAAGGTAGATTGTAATCCAGAAATCATGCCAATTAATATTAATAGCTCTTGAATGTTTTTGTTTATACTTGCTTTAAATAAAACATTTTAATTTGAAGCATAAGTAAAATCTAAACTGGTAAGGAATCATGGTAATTTAGAAAAATATGCATACAGCATAAGGAATGAAATTTATAAATTTTTATATCAACATTTAAATACTAGGGGCTGAGATGTTCACACTATTTTTCACATCTCCTGCACCTGGAGTTGTGTAGGTAAAACAATGTCATAAAAAAGTAAAATGCAATTTTATTCCTAAATTTAGTTTCACTGAAGAAACAAGCTCCTTTGATTTGGTTGCTGAGCTACTCCCATTATAATTACAGACATGATACCCGGTGGCTCATTTATGCCACAAAAATACTCTCAAATCTTGAGACTTTGAGATAATTTCATCCACATTTTTTTCAGGTTTATAGAGCAAAAGCGGAATGACTTCCAAATCTTACTCTCCCACCCTCACTCTCCTACCTCTGCTCAGCCTAGTATCTCCATCTGTCCTACTCCTAGCGTCACACAACAAGAAAAAATCTGCACTGTAAATCATCAAGCCATATCATACTTTTGATTCCTGAAAAATCACTATTCTTTTTCTGAAATTGATAACCTCAGATAAGTCCTATTTTCGTGAAATTAATCGATTCTAGATTCTTTGGAAACAATCATGCTGCTTTTTATTTCTTTCCTCCTTACTTAACCTTATTTGCTTAGAGTAGCAGTTGAGAGTTTAGTTGGACTCATTTTTCCTTTTGGTTCTTTTCTGGCTTGATTAAAAATTATTTGTTTCACCTCAAAATGGTATAAACTGATTGTGATAACTGTTCTTATGTTCCTGCATTTACTTTTAATTTGTGGTACACATTCTTATTCTTTTCCCCTTTCCTTTTTTCTTTTTCTTTTTTTTAATTTCTTTCTCTTGCCTAAAACAGAGATGAAGCTATGACGAGAGGGGAAGAATATTTTATTGAGCACCTACTCTGTGCCTCCAACATTGTAGATGTTATCCATTAGCTAATAAATATGTGCACAATCTTATTAGGAAAGTCATTATTTTTGCAGAGTAGGGAACTGGGTTGGTAATTCTAATCATAGTCTTATAAAAATATAAATGCCTTTAACATAATATAAATCACTTTAAGTGTCAAGCTTCCCTTGATATTACTGAGCTCTTTTAAAAGCATATAGGATGCCCACAGCAATATTTCTAATAGTTTTTATTATCAAAGACAGATACTGTCAAATATTTAAACAATATTTAATACTATGAAACTGAATGAAGTAATTGAAATATTCCTTATTCCTCAACAGGCATATGAAATTAACATTCAAAAGTGGCATCACCTTCATTTTGTGTTTATTTTCTATTTAAACAATTGCTTCAAAATGAACATAAAACTTTGACATCTTTATAGTTTTACAGTTTTCATAATAAACATTCATGTGTAGTTATTTATATTCACAGACATTTGGTATGTCTATCTACTGTCTTGAATATTGAGGTGTACGGTGTTCAAGAGGACACTTGACTTAGTCCTAGCCGCTGACCTAAGTGCATTAATGCTTTCCCTACAACAGCCTTCCTAAGAAGTAGGTATTGTGAAGAAAGTAACAGGACTAGCTCACATAGCCAGAAAGAGGATCAGAGGTAATAACGAATGCTAAAGTTTGACTCTAGAGCCACTGCACTATGCTCTTTCCAAGGTGGGACAGGAGACAAATAATATAAACTTTTCTTTTAAAAAAGATTAGAAAAACTGATAACCCCAGAGAAATATTTAAAGTTAAAATGGACCAATATGTTCATATACACATGCATATACTTTTTAAATATAATCTTTCTGCTCTATAAATATTATTTCAACATCTCAGCTAATTTCAAGTGTGAAAGTTTAAAACTTCAGTTAAAAGGGTTTTTGGTCAGTTTTCTAGGAATATAATTTAGAGGGGTGACATCAATGGCCCTATTGGAGAGGTCTAAAGTATGTGTTCTTTTTAAAATACTGACCGCTAGTGTAGAAAACAATCTTCAGTCTTGATTATTTTTCAGACTGTGGCTTCATACTTTGTTTTGTTAATAAATGTGCTCTATTTACATTTTTATTAATATAAAGGCAATTAACTTAATATTTTGTGTTTTTTAAACATAATCTAGATGAGGAAGAGGATGGCAAGACTCCAACTCAACCACTGTTGAAAAAAGGCAGGCATTTTTCATCATTTTATTTTAATCCCTTCTTTCATACTGTTAACTCTTTAATTCCAACTTTTCTTTTTTTTTTTTAACCTTAGTTTTTATTTCCATGGTGAGGTGATATTACAGCTATTTATTAAATGCAGATCGGAAAAATTATCATTAGTCCAAGTTAGTTAAATTGTCACAGGGAAAAGGTGATATATCAAAAACAAATTATTTTAAATTCATAGCACCTCTGAATAATGAAACCCTGAAAAGTCAGTATTAATCTTTTTTTTTTTTTTTTTTTTTGGTGGGACCCTCGCCGGTGGCTGGGGATCAAACTGGCGCTGCAGAGGCTGTGGGCAACCTCGCAACCCAGCGCTCAACTGGGCCAGTATTAATCTTTTTATTTAAACTGCATGGTTTAGGTAAGGAGAGACACTGAAATACCTTTGTTACCAGTGTCACTTGCACTTTTTCCCATCAGTTGTATCCAGCCAAATCCTTAATTTTGATACTAATGTATTTTTCATTTCGAAAATTACAATATTTCTCACAGTCCTGCTGCGTTTGGGAGATACAGTCATGTCAACATACATGAATTTTATGAGAAGGAGATAGAGGTGAGAGTTATGGAGCAGTGTGGTTTGGTAGCCATGTTATTTCATCACGCAAAATCATTCATCATGTTTGCATATGTCATGGCAGCATGAAAAGTGAATGATAGACATTTTAAAAAGTGAGCAGATTTCCTCCTTTGGATTTCTGCTTTTAAAAAATTGGGTATAGGAGTTTCATGATAATCATTTGCTTGCTTACAGAGCTGATGCTGGTGTTTTGTTTTGTTTTGTTTTTTTTAATTCCTGGGAATACAAATGGGAACTCCTTTGGTAAACATTTTAGACCTGCAGCAAATGGATGGGAGTTCCAGGGAGTTCCCAACATCTTTCTGTGATTCAAAGAAAGAGGTAGTGATTCTGTTGCTTTAGAATTGGGCTCACCTAACGTTGGTGAAAAGTTAGGTAAAGATGAGGGAGTTTTTCCTTAAAGTTTCACTGTGATAATTATAAGATTTTATTGGTGTATCTTCCATTTCCTTCTGTCTTTCACATTACAGGTAACATTTATTTAAGGTTTTTTTTTCTTTTTGAGCTTTAAATTACTGAAAAACCAGACTGCAAAAGAAATGTACTCATGGAACAAGCATAAACTTAATTTTTCCAGCTAGCCAAAAACAGCTTTTCAGAAGCACTTTACAGAAATCAAAACCTAGCAGTCAATATAAGCTTCCTGATTAGTTTTACTGATTCTCTTCATTCAGAATGCTTCAGAATTTTAGAAATTAGTCGAGATGATATATTTATCTGTAACCATTTAAAAAGTATATTTAAATTATAAATAAATATCAATGATAGATGCCATATACAGTTACCTGCATTAAAAACATTTGAATACACAGAAGTTTGGAAGCTATAGGAATTCAGCAGAGGGGATTTTAATAACATTTACCTTGCTTACACATTTCATTTTCCTCCTTCATCCTTTAGAATCCAAAGGCCCTGCCGTGCCTTTAAATGTAGCTGATCAAAAACTTCTTGAAGCTAGTACACAGTTTAAGAAAAAACAAGGAAAGAATACTATAGATGTCTGGTGGCTTTTTGATGATGGAGGTAAGACTGTTAATGTTGAGGGGATAATACTATGAAAGACTTGTACTCCTCACCTGTGGACCAATTCACTTTTGCCACTATTCCCCAAAGAAGCTACAGCATTAATTTTAGAACTCGGTGTTGCACTTAGTTGTTCTCTCTCTCCAGTAGCCTTCAATTCAGAATTTGAGCTTCATGATGTTAACATTTTTTAATATTACAGACGACTTTATAGACCGTCACTAAATTTGGAGTGCCATTTTTTATTTCATCATAATTAGTTTCAAATTATTTAGTTGGGTGCACAGTATCACAGAAGTGATACTGTGCCCATCTGTTGATCTCTGCAAGTAGCACGTGATACTGCGTTTTCTTATCACTGAAGTTAGGCTTTGAGTAAGGTGGTTCTCACAAGATTTATACTTCTTCCTCTTATTTGGAGAACAGAGAATTACTTTGAGACTATGTAAATATGTCATTGTTCCTGTAACTTTTTACCCCTCTTTAGCATCCATTGGTATTTTACCTGAATTTATTATTGCTGTGGTGTTTCATATTTGCCAACTGAATTTTCTGATGCCACTGTTCTTCCTTATTTATTAGTTGATGGAAGAACTTTGTTTATTTTTTCTATATGAACTTACAAATTCCTGTTTTACTCAATGAGAGATGATTTGTCATCCTGATTATTTTTCTGATGTTCAGGTTGTCCCAGACTTGGCCAATGGGATCCTCATTACAGAGTTCTGTCTCTGTCATGACCCAGTTATTTTCTGGTACAATAAGATATTTCAGGCCTGATTTTATACTTCCCTACACCAGTCTTTGAATCATCATTTATTCATGGAGCCCTGATTCTTTTAGTGGAGAATAGTATTTAGAAACCAAGATCAGGGCATTAGGTATAATCCTTGTACTAAAATGTTAGTACTCTTGGGCCCTTTTAATGGACGGAGCAGAAAATACAGGTTTGTGTGTGCATAGATATAGACTGAAAACTAACTTCAGGATTTACTCCTGTTTCTCCATTTTTGTGTTTTCCATTTTAGTGAGAAAACTGCTATTGTTTAAATGTATATTGTCATTGGGCATTGCTTATGGCTTTTGACCAAATTGTTAAGAAAAAGGAAGGACAGAAAGAAAAATTGTTTTATATTGAGTTGCAGTATTTCTATTTTTAAGGATTAAATTGAATGAGAAGTTTTTCTGTGGAAAATCAGCACTGAATAATTGTCTTGTTATATTTTTATTATTCAGGTCTGACCTTATTGATACCTTATCTTCTGACTACCAAGAAAAAATGGAAAGACTGTAAGATCAGAGTTTTCATTGGTGGAAAAATCAACAGAATAGACCATGACAGGAGAGCGTAAGTTTTTCTAAACTTGTAGGGTGTTTAACTAGTAGTGCTTCATTATCATAATATTAATTTGATAAGATAAAAATTAGAAAAATCCAGAAAATATCAGACTTACTGCTCTGTTCTACATTAAACCTGAAACTTCTAAAGATAGCAAACTTCATTCTTTCGATTTTAGTTTTCATGCTTTAGTTAGATTTAGCTTTATTTATATGTAGTAATTACTATATTAACATTTTAGGAAAACTTGTGATATTAAAATGCTTAAGAGCTTTCTTAAATCGGGGGAAGAGTATATAAAAATTACATATTCATACGTGGGAGTACTTTTAGATAACATATATGTGGTGTGCCACTGTCATCCACACCCTCATTTCTGTGTAACTGTCAGGATTCTAGTTCTGCATTCAGTGCTTCTGAGTACCCTTGTTGCTTATGTCTGACCCTTTTCAGCATATATTGACATTGTTCCTGATTTCATCTTTGGACAGCACAGTTTTCAATTATTTGATTCCTTTGTGCAAAGTACTTTTTAAAAATATTTATTTATTTATGAATGCAAGAGCTGGGGTACAGGTCAGAGATGCGGGGGGTGAGAGGATCCACCAGAGACAGTGGGGAATAGAACAGGCAGATTGACTGAAATACACTGCTGAGAGGAGCAGCGGGCGAGACAGGGGAGGTTTGCCTCGCTATGTGGGTTGCTTCCTGGCTGGCCGGGGATTGAACTCATGCTGCACAGGCCGCGGATCACTTCATAGTGTGGTGCTTAACCCCTTGTGCCACCAGGGCGCCCCCCTGTGCAAAGTACTTTTAACTGCTTTTGTTAGCTACCATAGAAAGTCTAATTGCAATAGTATGACCCTCAAGAAAGACCCTTTAACAACCTCTCCTCCTGTTCCCTTTCTATTCTCCCAAGGCTGCCTTATACCTCAGTTTACACTTCTGCATAGCCCTAAACATGGGTGTAAGATTTCATCCTTTGCCTACTCTCACCTCTCTACTATAAATACTTCACTTGTGTTCTTTCTCTGTTTTAAAAAAAACAAAAAAAACCTCCATTCTTTAAAGTTCAGTGTTGGTCTCACCTTTGTAATCCCTCCCCCTTGTGCTAGTTATATTTTCTTCATGAAACACATTATACTTGATATATTCATCACATTCTGGGGTTTTTGCTATGGTTTGTTTTCTTATGTTTTCTTTTTGTGTGTGTGTAGACCCTATGAACACATAGCAGGCATTTAGAGTTAAGACACTTAGAATTATGCCAGAATTCAAATATTCATTTTAAGTAGTGAATTATGCAAGTGCTAGTAATAATTTTAGAGTTAAACCTTTGTAGTTCATCCTTTTTCTAATGTAGTTTAGAATATACATTTTTTGAAAAACAGATGCTTTTCCTATGTGTTTGTGTTTGTTTTGCAATCAAGGCTTCATTGGAAACTGCCTCCAGCAAACTGTTTACTTGAAAAGATGGATACTCAGAACTCCTCTTCCATGCCTATTCCAGCTTAAAAAATACGTGTGTGTGTGTGTGTAAATATCTACATATATATATTTTTTTTAATGCCGACAACATAATCTATCATTAGTAATGTGGCCCAAAAATTCCTTTATGGACCTGTGAGTTCTAGGCATTCAGTGGATGGAAGAGGAATCCAAAAATAATTTACTATTTTTCCTGAAATTCATACCTATACCAAAACAATTTGACTAATGTTAACTTTAAAAACCTAGTTGTCATTCAAATTTCATTAGTAATGTCTGGCTCTGTCCATAACTAAGAAGAGATTCAGAGAACATAGCAAAGTATCAAAAGTCTCTATTAAGGGACTTCAGATGTCGACACTGTAAATATATAGTGCAAATTAATTCACATGGACTAATAGCACTTGACAGATTCTTTCCATAAATAATGCTTTTCAGATGTTTCCAGCCCTATATAAAATAAAAACAGTTATAATCAACCTTCATGTATCTCAATGCTACTCATCTTTGTTTTAGGATGGCAACTTTGCTTAGCAAGTTCCGGATAGACTTCTCAGATATCATGGTCCTAGGAGATATTAATACTAAACCAAAGAAAGAAAAGTAAGTTATTGGATAAATTGCTTTGTACAAATTTCAGATTCTTTTATGGATCAGTTTTAGCATGCCTATAGCAGATATCACAGTAAGTCTAAAGTGCCCTCAATCTTCAGAAAATATTTCAATTTCTGTTTTATTTATTTATTTATTTTTTTTAATAGAGGCATGTTTTTATTTATTTAGTTTTTGTTTGTTTATACAAGCACTGGGTACAGTCAGAAGCGCAGGAGGGTGAGCGAATTCACCAGAGCCAGAGGGGGGAGCAGAGCAGGCAGAAGGACCGAAGTACACTGCTGAGGGGAGCAGCGGGCGGCAGGAGAGGTCTGCGCGCCATGTGGGACCCTCCTCCAGTGGCCGGGGAGCAGCCGGGGATTGAACCGGTGCCTCAGAGGCTGCGGGCAGCTTCGCAACCCAGCGCTCAACCGCTGCGCCACCGGGGAGGCCCTCAATTTCTGTTTTATAAGTAATTTCTGAAAATCACTAATACCGCAGTTTTCCACATGATCCTTTAAACTTCCATTGTTTATGCCTTACTTCCATTCATTATTATAGCACTCAGTCCCTAGTCCACGTGTGAATAACCTGAGGAAATGGGTAAACACAATTTGACCTATTGCTCAAAAGTCATTTTGACTACTTAGATAAATTTATTTAGGTTCGGGGGTGGATGGGTATACACAGGAACAGGAGTAAATAGAACTAGATCAGCATTAGCATTAAAAATTCATTCCTATTGTGAACATGGTTCTAAATTTAGGACATGGGAGGGAGCATAATAGATGGGAAAAACTACTTTTCAAGCTGTAAGTTATTGTTTAAGAACTTAAGGTCATCTGACATGAGGCTAATTATCTGTATTCTTTATTTTTTGTCAAGTATTGTAGCTTTTGATGAAATGATTGAGCCATACAGACTTCATGAAGATGATAAAGAACAAGATATTGCAGATAAAATGAAAGAAGATGAGCCATGGCGAATAACTGATAATGAGCTTGAACTGTATAAGACCAAGGTATTTTTTTTTTTCTTTAATGACTCTTCCATGTGTTTGCCTGTATTTTAAGTACTTAAGACAAATATATTTTTTCACCAAAATTGATTTTGGTTCCTTTCTGTCTATTTAAAAGTTTTATGAACCATGCTAGATTCCAATTTACAAATGGTTTAGGAATGACTTAATTCTGTTTCCTTTCAGACATACCGACAGATCAGGCTAAATGAATTATTAAAGGAACATTCAAGCACAGCTAATATTATCGTCATGTAAGTAATACCTACACTAAGATTTTCCTGGTGATTTATTTTATAATAATGTACTTAATTTCTCTACATTATCTCTATCTACATAGCACCCATAATGACTTAGTGGTTATACAGGAAAAAAACCTAATTTTTCAAAATAAACTTTAGAGAAATCATTTAAGGTAGGAACAAAGGACACAGATCTTAGCCCTAAGGTTATGACAAAGAAATAGATTTAGTTTATCCTGAAATTTTTCCCTTTTTTTTAATCCTATTTCCCACCTTTTACAAATTCCGTAGCTTTGAAAATACTACAGCACAACTATTAAGCACATTCAGGCCCTAAACATGCTCCCCCACAGAAATAACTCCATAAAGTTATTTGAAGGATTAAATTAAATAAGTGGTTTCTTTGTGAATCTCTATCCCCAAATTCCCACAAACTTTACATACCAATATATTGTCCACACGTTGAATATAAATACTAATGCTCACTCTGACTTTTCTGGCATTAAGCCAGGTTAACTAGATTTTATTACTTGAACCTGAATTTTCTCAGTCCTGGAGCCTGATCCTTAAATAGACAAGGAAAGTTCACGACTTCAAAAATGAGTCAAATGATGAAATACAGAAAGACCAAAGGATAGCTATTTGATTAACAATGAACATCTGATATACCAGAAAGTTTTAGGTTTTGTGGATGATGATCAAATGTTTGAAAACTAGAAAAAAAATACTGCAGAGCAACTGGTTACTACCAACATCTCCAAAAGGAAAAGAAAGTTCAGCAAGATTAGAGAAAACAGAAATTAATTATATATATATATGAAATTAATTATATATATATATATATATATATAAATTGTTTGAATTTCATGTGTGCACATATAGATTTTGCTTTGTGACTTCATATACAAACATCCCTTTCTCCTAATTCTATACTTATTGACTGGGAAGTTTGGGATATGATGTTAGATACCAAATGTAGAAATTTTTTTAATCCTCTTAAAATTTGTAAAAGTGGCAGTGTATGACAGTGCAATAGTAGTTACACTATGTGCAGAATTTTTCTGCACTCAAAAAACAACTATTACTAAGTGATCTCTAATTAGTATTGTGATTTTATAATTTTTATTACATTTTATTTTCCTAACTGAAATCCACTATTTGATTTCTTATTTTGATTCCAGGAGCCTCCCAGTTGCACGAAAAGGTGCTGTGTCTAGTGCCCTCTACATGGCATGGTTAGAAGCTCTATCTAAGGACCTACCACCAATTCTCCTAGTCCGTGGGAATCATCAGAGTGTCCTTACCTTCTATTCTTAAATGTTCTGCACAGTGGACAGCCCTCCAGACGGTACTTCAGTGCCTAGTGAAGTAACTGAAATCTTCAATGACATGTTAACATCACAATGGCGAACTGTGACTTTACTTTCACTATTTCATTAATTTGAAAGCACACAGGGAAGCTGCTCCATTGATACATGTATGGAGACTTCAATTTTAGTCAATTCCTTATCTCAGTCTTACTGAATGATGTTTCCTTGGACTAGAGCTCATGGAAGTAAAGTTTTTCTTTGCTACTTGAACAGCAATAAAAGTGTGTTATTTTCGATTGATGAAAGGAGTACAAAAAGCCTTTAGCCTTGAGGTGCCTTGTGAAATTAACCAAATTTCATCCATATATCCTCTTTTATAAATTTATAGAATGTTAAACTTCGCCTTCAGCTATCTTTATTTCTAGTTTCTTCCATTTTTAAAAAAAATGTACACTGCTGTTCTTCTTCCATTGACCAATTAGTGTTGAGTACTATATGTTTTCTATTACTTTTGTAAAGGTTATCTGTCAGATATTAAAGGTGAGAATTAGGGCAAGTTAATGAAAAACGGGGGGGATAAAAAGGAAGCCAAAAGTGACTCCAAGGTTAGGTTTGTTTGAGTATGTATAAATGTAGACCTCGGGGGGAAAAGGTCTAATAAACCTTTTTTTTTTTTTTAACTTCTGATTGGCTATTTGTACCTTTATTTTTTTTTTTAAACCTTAGGGAAGGTTGAAGATTCATTCAGTACTTCTATATACCATCCTGAAAAATTACATATTGTCATTCTTTGAAAAAAATTCTCAAGATCATTTGTATTTATTAGAAAAGAAATCTTAAGAGTTTCCTTAAATATAAGGAACTTTTAAGAATTACTAAAAGATTTTTCTGGAGGAAAATTAGATATAGCAATGTCATTTCATAGACAATTTCAATACACACTATTGGAATTTCACTACACTGTACATCTTTTATAAACCATTAAAATGTTTAATGTTTCATCAAATGGTTAAATGGACCACTCGTTTTTTAGTGAAATGTTTTTAGGCCTAATTCATTCAATTGTCAATACTTAGTCTTAATATACTCAGGTTTGAACAGATTGTTCTGAATATTTAAATTTAATCCATTCTTAATACTTTAAACCTTTTGTGTTAAGAAAAACTGCCAGTTTGTGCTTTGGAAATGTCTGTTTTGACATCATAGTCTACTAGAACAATTTTGACAGTGCATATGTACTGTTAACTAAAGCTTTATATACAATTATTAATGTGAAGTTTTCATTTTTTAATTCAAGGAAGGATTTCCTAAAAACATTTCAAGGGATATATGTCTACATATCTGTATGTGTGTGTGTGTATAGTCTATGCATACACAGATGCATATGTGTATATATAAAGGCATTTATGTTGCTGGTTATTTGCATTTTAAGGTGATCAAGACTCATTAGATTAAAATATTTTTGTTTTAGTAATAAGTTCAAAATTAGATTGAAAGGTACAAGTTGCATGGAGAATTAAAGTGATCATTTGAAAGGCATATAACTTCACGGCTTTCAGTTAGAAAACGGGGAAAACATTTCATCTAAAGTACTGCTCAGTGGGTTCATGGATATAATTTCAGTGGTAGGAATTTATGCAGGTTTCAGGAATCGATAGAAATCTATAGAATTACTACTGTTAACTGCAGTGTTTTTGCTGCATGAGTGTGAACTAATAATATAAAAATAGAGATCTAATTTTGAATTCAGAATAAGAAAATGAAGTAATCACTTTTCAAAAACTTTTTTCCTTCATTATAACTCACAGCATTGTTTCATTTATTGAAGGTTTTATAGTGTTTGGGGGGAAAGACAGTAGAAAATGTCATATTATTCAGTGAACAATATCATGTTTGAACTTTTCTTTAATGGATAATAGGGCATGAACTGAGTGCTGCTATTTTGAAATGTGCACAGGTACACTTATTTTTTTTAAGATTTTCCCATTCAGGAAAACATTGTGATCTGTACTACAGGAACCAAATGTCATGCATCATACATGTGTGTATAGAGTACATAAAATATATCTAAATATGCATAATGGGGGGAGGGTAATATTGTCTGAAATAATGTAAGATGCTTTCTCTTTAAAAAATGCATTACTTTCACTTAACACTATACACGAGGTCAAAATTTTCAAGGTTTTAGTGCTCTAATAAATTTCAACAGTTAATTCTAGAAATGCGAGCTAGTATTGAAGCTGTTATTTATGCAAATTTGATTATTTTAATGCCAATTTTTTTTTTTAGTTCATTGTTGATAATTTAGAAATAATTATACAATGGCATTTGACAGTTCACTATTCCTATAGGTAAAAAAATTAAATGGGTTTAGAGAGAATGATGGTGTTAAGTTGATTAACAGTTAATTAAATCAAATATTTATTTGTTACATTATTTCGTTTGTATTTTAGGTTTCTTTTACGTTCTTTTTATATGCTTTCTGACATTACATATTTTTAAAGCTATGGAAATAATTTAAAGATTTGAACTCTGGTGGATTTTATCTACTAAGTTTGAAAATGTAATATTTTGATAATGTTATACTGTAACTGTCACACAAATGCTTTTCTAATGTTTTAACACTGAGTATTGCAGTTGCTGCTTTGTACAAAGGTTACTGCAATAAAAGTGGATTCATTAAAACTAAAGTTAACATGTACTCAGTATTTTATCTTACAAATCTGTATCTGTTTTGTGATTTTACTTCATTTTTTTTTAGTTTAAAATTTGTGTCTTGGAAAAGTTGTCTGAAACTGTTTACTATCCCTAAGCTTTGGAGTAACAACTACTGATACTGAGTGTGATTGAGCCATATAAGCTGTAGCACTCTTTTTTAAGTGATTTAGCTTTTCTCATTCTGTTTTGTATTTGGGCCAAATCAGTGAAGAGACTACAAGATCAGAATGAGTCATAGTTCCTGAATAGAATCTTGATTCTTTTTTTCCTTAAGAGTTTTGTCTAAGCTGATTTACAATTTAACAAGGAATTTTCTCATTTGAACACTGTAGTAAGTGTGTTATATATGCAGGACAGCTGAAAAAGCAGGTTAGAAGATTGTAGGGAAGTTCACAAGTTCCTGTGGTAAATCAATGAAGGATGTTGGCTAAGTGCCCAGGTCTTTCCAGGGATCACTATTAAATATTCGCTGTTGCCTGATCATAACTGAAGAGGGTAGGATATATTGCTCGTTTCCAAACTACCCAGGAAGTATATGCTCAGGTAATACAAGTTACAGTTACAAATATAGATTGGCTACCTTAATCTGAAACAAAATGTGTCTATGCTTCTTGCTTATTCTCCAAAAAACTAATGAGGCCAGATTACTCTCTTAATTTGGAAAATGGAGAATTCAAAGATAACTTGAATTTGGCATTTCCTAATATCAGAGCATCCAACGGTTTTCAAAACTGTAATGTTAAATTAAAAAGAAACTGAAATGTAATTCATCTTCAAGCCAATGGACTTTTTTGTTCATACACCAGGAATAAAAGATGCATTTGATAGACCTTTTTTTTGTCTTTATGTTAAAATATCAACAGGATGTTTGTAGGGTTACAGGATATAGGTGAAGTTTAACTGAGTAAAGATGGCAGAAGTCCCAGTGTACACTCATCAGCAAGTACTGCTTAGTTCACCTAGTTCAATTTGACTTCTGTTGCTCTTTATAGAATATGAAGGCAATAGTCATGGAACTGCTTTACATGTGACAAAGCTATTAAAATGATACAATGGTCAGACGTTTATTTCCCCTCCCCTTGAATTAACCATTGAATGTTGTGTGACACAAGGTAAAATAAATTATTGTTTTAGGGAAAACATGAAGGCCTCTGAATTTGTTACCACCTATTAGGCAACCTTATATGTTGCTGCGGTTCTTACAGATCTGGAATTCATTCCCAAAATTCATAGCTCTTGTAACAAGACATTTCTTCTACTCTTCTAAGATATATTACTAATATATTCTGCTCACAGATATGAATGGAAGTAAATTACTTTTTTGATTTGCAAGCTAAGCCCCATGACCTGCAGATATTAAATGCAAAAACAGAGGCAGCCCCTGAGTATGTATACTTGTGATAATTTTACTAGAATACTGCTGAAGTTTTTGAGGTGAGGAACTGTGGAGATTTTGTCTTGGAAGCCTTAACTTCTCAAGTCCAATGAAAATTGCTACCATGTGGCTAATTACTGGAAAAGTTGCCACAACTACTCCCCGCTGCCCTGCAACATAATTAAACATTCAAAAGAAAAGCCTGACTTCTGTTCTTCACAATTCACTATTTTCCTGAAGGAAATGTGTGTGACTTTTAAGCATTAAAAAGCAAATTTTATAGGGTAATTTTATACCCAGTTCTCATTTCTAATAACAGATATGCCAAATAAGATAGTTGTAAAATTAAGCAAGCTGTGTTTAAAATTTTGATTTACACAAAACTACCATGAGATATCATCTTACACCAGTGAGAATAGCACATATTAAAAAAACTAGCAAGAACAAATGTTGGCGAGGGTGTGGAGAAAAAGGAACTCTCCTGCACTGTTGGTGGGAGTGCAAACTGGTCCCAACCACTATGGAGAGCTGTGTGGAGATTTCTGGACCTACTAAACATAGAGCTTCCATAGGATCCAGCAATTCCACTCCTAGGTATTTACCCAAAGGACACAGAAACATCCATTCCAAAGAGCACCTGCACCCCTATGTTTATAGCAGCACTGTTTACAATAGCTAAGCTTTGGAAACAACCCAAATGCCCAAAAATAGATGAGTGGATCAAGAAGATGTGGTACATATATACCATGGAATATTACTCAGCATTCAAAAAAGATAAACACATGCAATTTGCAGCAACATGGATGGCACTGGAAGGGATCATGCTCAGCGAAATAAGCCAGAAAGAAAAAGAAAAGTACCAGATGGTCTCACTCATAGCAGGAATCTAGAAAACTTAAATAAGGGACCAGGAAAAAGAATAACTATAAGAAAGAAAATATCAAAATCAACAAACAACTATGAACCAGAGACACTCTATGGGGAGGGGTGGAGGGCGGGGAGGGGAGGGACTGGGGTCAAAATAAGGGGGTTGCAATTGTATGGGGAATATAAAAATAAGATTTATTTAAAAAATTTTTTTATTTACATAAGGAACACATAAAAATATACAACTCCTACTGTAAGATATAATACTTGATGTTTTATGTTCTAAATGAAATTAAGTCCCAAACATTTTTTTTAAGTAGTGACAATTTGAAAGAAGCAAGAAAGAATTTATCAGAGGGACCAATAATGATAGATTATTTTAATTTAAAACCTACAGCAATAAGTCCTCCCTGGTGGCACAAGGGGTTAAGCACCACACTTTGAAGCAATCCACAGCCTCTGCAGCATGAGTTTGATCCCCGGCCGGCCAGGAAGAAACCCACATGGCGAGGCAGACCTCGCCTGTTTCGACCGCTGCACCCCTCAACAGTGTATTTCAGTCAGTCTGCCTGTTCTGTTCCCCACTCTGTCACTGGTGGATCCTCTCACACACACCCCCACTGTGCATCTCTGGCCTGTACCCCAGCTCTTGTATGCATAAATAAATAAATCTTTAAAAAAGAAACCTACAGCAATATTGCTTAAACCATAAAAATTCTTTGAGTACCTAGTTAGTAACCTTTAAAAGACAAGGACAATTTGAGAAATGGGGGATTCACAATGAATGGAAAGTTAGAGTCCAGAAAAAGAGGTTCATTGATGGTAGAAGATTCACTTTTTTTAAATAGATTTACTTATGCATACAAGAGCTGGGGTACAGGCCAGCGATATAGGAGGTGAGAGGATTCACCAGAGACAGAGTGGGGAGCAGAACAGGCAGATTGTCAGAAACACTGAGGGGAGCAGCGGGCAAGACAGGAGAGGTCTGCCACACCATGTGGGTATCTCCCTGGCTGGCCAGGGATCGAACTCCCGTGCTACAGAGGCTGCGGATTGCTTCATAGTGCTCTGCTTAACCCCTTGCGCCACCAGGGAGGCCCGAAGATTCACTTTATGATAAAAATCTTTGTAGTCATTTCTTTTTGGGAAATAGTGGATGATGAAAGATGGAGGTGAGGTTTTTCCTGAATTGTAAAAATTGTAAAATCTGTTGGAAAATTAGCTATGTCTACTTTTTTTAGCTATTAGCTACCTAGTTCTAATCTCATGTGTAACCTACATTTTTTAAGTAGTCTACTATAATTTTTCCATCAGTAAAGACAATCCTTTGTTTACTCTTTATGCACCTGTCAGTTTAGCATTGTTGACATAAATTATACTCTAGGGCTTTTTTCCCCAGAAAATTGGTAAGGAGTACAGGTGTATTATGGATTGAAACAGTAACTGGAACACTGGTTCTCATACTCATAAATGTTGGAATCACATGGAAGGTTTGTTAAAACACACAACTCTCACCTTTTTTTTTTTTTCAATTACCCCTTTCACATTCACTGCTGCTCAGTAAACCCTCCCTTCTTTGCAGTTGCCTTTGTCCTTGATTCATCCTTTATTGAGTTGTTTTCCACAGGGAGCACATATTTCTATCTTTCTTACAGCTGTGAATTTGAATAATCACTTCCCTTCCAAATTCCCCAGTGTTTTCCATTTACAGTAGTGAAGGCTTTATCAATGGCAAAAACAGAAACCAAAGAAGGCTAAGAAAAATGTCCAGGAAGACAACAGAGTTCATGGCACCTGAACTGGTTGATGATACCTAAAAAAAATCAAACTCAATTTCAGTAGTTTAGCAACAATTATAGTTAAAAGGTGGTTATGTCCCAATAAACTCTGGCAGAAAAGCCTAGGGGAGAGCCTTAAAGGCTCACCTTGGGGAAAGCAAAGCCTCTGATTCAATCATGTCATTATTAAGATAGTGAAGCTGACTGAAAATAGCATTTCTAAACAATACCAGTAGTAAAATACTCCTTTGAACTGGAGTGGAGGGAACCTCACAATGCCAGTAGTAAAATACTCCTTTGAACTGGAGCAGAGGGAACCTCTTCAATACAACTGGGTTTACCCCATACACTGATTTACCCAGGAAGAAGTGCTGAGAGTATAGGAATGTACCAGGAATCCCTGAGCAACTCAGCTCCAATTGCTCTGCAGGTCTCGATGACTCCATACAAAAGGGAGAAAACCCAAACAGTATCAGAAACAAAAGAAGTTGTAACAGGCAGCTCATAAATAGAGGAGAATATTTCTATGAAAATCTATCAGAAAATAAACTGAATAACTTAGAAGAAATGAACAAATTCTTAGAAATAGTCAAATCTCGGGCCTCCCTGGTGGTGCAGCGGTTGAGCGCTGAGCTGCGAAGCTGCCCGCAGCCTCCGGCAGCGCCGGTTCGATCCCTGGCCACTGGGGAGGGTCCCACATGGCGCGCAGACCTCTCCTGCCGCCCGCTGCTCCCCTCAGCGGTGTACTTCTGTCCTTCTGCCTGCTCTGCTCCCCGCTCTGGCTCTGGTGAGTCCTCTCGCCCTCCCGCACTTCTGACTGTACCCAGTGCTTGTATAAATAAATAAATAAATCTTAAAAAAAAAATAGTCAAATCTCAAAAAAAAATTATCTCTTCTTTTATGACACTGGATATGACTGGAGAAGAGTCTGTTAAATGAAACGAGAAACAGAGAAGGTGGGATCCTTTATTTCTGAATCATATATACATTGTTGTAAACTAATGTGACCCTAGTAAAAAACATTACAAAAAAAAATACAAAACCTTCTTACACTAAATCAGGAAAAAATGGAAAACCTGAAAAGATCAACTGCAAGCAAAGTACTAAAAGAGTAATCAGAAGTTTCCAAAATAGACAAAAGACCAGGCCCAATGGTTTCACAGTGAGTTCCACCAAACCTTCAATAGTATTTGAGAACAGATACTATTCTTCTCAAACTTCCAAAAAGTTGAAGAAGAGGGAATACTCCCAAAGATATTTAATGAGTCCATTACTCTGATACCGAAAGCAAAAAAGGCCATCACACACAAAAAGCTTATAGTCATTCCCTGAGGAATACAGATGCAAAAATAACAAAATCTTAGCAAATCAAATTCAGCAATGCAATAAAAGGATCATACATCATGACCAGTGGAATTCATCTCTGGGATCAAAGGATAGTTCAATATATGCAAGTCAATCAATGTAATCCACCATATCAATAAAAAGAAATGTAAAGATCACATGATCATATCAATAGATGGAGAGAAGGCATGAAAAAATTCAGCATCCATTTATCATAGAAAATCTTAGTAAGATGGAACTAGGAGGAACATATCTCAACATAATAAAGGTCAAATATGACAAACCCATATCTCACATCATACTTAATGGTGAAAACCTGAATGCTTTTCTTCCAAAATCAAGTGCAGGACAACAATATCTACTCTTACCACTACTATTCAACATGTATTGAAAGTATTAATTAGAGCAATGAGGCAAGAGAAAGATATTTTAAAAAATCCACTTTGGAAAAGAAATAAAATTATTACTAACTGTAGGTGACATAATATACACAGAAAAAGCCTAAAGATTCCACTTAAAAGCTACTAAGAAAACTGTATAGTAAAATGGCAAGTTATAAAATCAATATACAAAAGTTTGTTACTTCCTTACGTGCAAAAACAAACTAGAAAAACAAACAAACAAACAAAAATCCCATTTACAATAGCATCAAAAAATAGTCAATACCAGGGCCTCCTTGGTGGCGCAGGGGTTAAGTCTCAGCACTATGAAGCTATCCGCAGCCACTAGAACCCTGGCCAGGGAGCTGACCCACATGGCTCAGCAGACCTCTCCTGTCTCGCCTTCTGCTCCTCTCA